CAACAAAATCTATCTCCACACAGACGCGCGCGACATGTACTATTGGACATGGGTCAGTTGAAAGCGACATTAACCTAAATGGCTCATGTTACTTTCAGCCAATTAATTTGAAACAGAAGGACCGTCTTAAAACCCTTTATATTTGAATCCTTGAAAATAAAAATATGAGGCCATATAATTATTACAAGCAATTAGCCACACTGTTATCTAGATAGCACTAAATTATGATGGGATTCAAATGAAAAAAATGTTTTGGGACAGCACAACACTGTTTCAAATTAATTGGATTTGACATATAAGAGTTGGCTGAAAGTAACATGAGCCCTTTAGGTTAATAGGGTTTCAACTGACCCATGTCCAATAGTACATGTCGCGCGCGTCTGTGTGGAGATAGATTTTGTTGGAGGTTTGTGAGAGTTGAAAGCGACATGACTCTCAAGTTACGTCAACTTCGTTTATAAGGGTCTACTTATTCAGCTGCGAAAATCACACGTTATGCCTATTTCATGTTTTATAACAGTGTCATTTGAGAGACGAACGCGACATGGGTCGTGTCAATCTCTCATCTGTGGAGTTCAGTAAGTGGCGAAAGAGACACAGCCATGTCATTTTCGGCTCTCAAAGCTCTGTAGTATAAGACGAACTCGGCATAGGCCTTGTCGTTTTCGCATGTAAAGGGGCGTCTAAAAGACGCACGCGTAGGCTCCTATGGGCCATGGTACTATACATCCGTCACATAATCGTCAGAGATATCTTTATATATCAGAATAACATCTAAAATTGCGTTAACTCTTTAAAATACTCACCAGGCAAACTAACAACTAATTTTCATTTAAATAACCCCCGGTGTTACCACTGAGCTTGATGTCTGTCTGTTCGTCGCAGATGCTCATGACGCATAAGTAGATCGAACGTTAAAATAACGTACAAATGGCTCATTTGGGATTAATTTGTCACTTAAGTAACATAAATCATGTAAATAAAGTTAAATGATAAGAAATAAGAATAATCAAAGGGCGGATTTCTTTTATCATCATTGTTGTTTATATCATATAATAAGTTGCAGGTGGGATGTCATGATCGAGAAAATGAATTTTTATTTTTATCTATTATAATTTTCACCTTTGTTGTCGTTTACACATATTTTCTAATACTAGGTGTTAGAAAAGTATTCTATTCTTATCATGCTATCATTTAATATGACGCGATCACGAGTAGGCGATTGCGAAATAACGAGAGGTCGGTCGCAGGTCGCCATTAAGAACAACAACAAAACATCTGCAAACCTCATTCTGTTTTCTTAGCTTCCATGATCTAGTAAGTTGACAGGATGGGGAATATCAACACCACTGGGCCCAACGAAGCCTTGGTCATATCAGGTTGGTAAAGTTAATTCTGCATTGTCGTGCGATCGTTATTTCTGCCTGGAGATGTTACGTCCTATCTGTAATCGACCTGAGTTTGCCCCTCCTTTTTACTACTACTGTTACTACTAGTAATATTACTATTATTATTGCAGTTAGTGCTATGCTGCGTTATTTGTAATATCATATGCGATGATCAGCGACAGCTTTTTATTCACAATTTATGGTGAATTTTGTTGGTTTACAACAGTGAAAACGAGTATGGTACACGAATGTCCGTCTATTTTATGCGTATTTCGAAATCATCGATTTTCATGCGTATCACTATCAGGTTGTTACGATACAGTGTACTGTTTATTGGGCTTACTCTAAGCACGTTTAAGTCAAATTCATATCTTATTTTAATTTGTTTAAGGGAGTATGAAATGATTGCTTTAGATTTGACTTAGCATTGACAACAGAAATTCATCTCAGGGCTCTTTAGAGTGAACCCAGGGATGGTGATATTTTTTGTTTCTGTTTCAAGGCAGACAGATTTTTATTTATTAATATTGTGAAATATAAATCCAGTAATATGCACTTATTCATTAAATGAAATATGCAGTTGAACATTCAGTAATTTCCTGGACTAAATGTAGGATACATGCTGTAACTAATGGTTATTACGCAATCATCACATATTTCACCACCTGCTACTGCATCATTTGATAACTTTTTTATTGCTGTTGATTGCTGCAACAAGTGGAGGGTACTATGATATTGTATAAAACAGCAAAAATAGTGGGAAAAGAGAGAATTATACAGATATCACACAAAATGTGAGCATCACTGATATGTGTCTTTGTGGACCATTTTCGCTTGCTTCTGACTTAATTTTCTTTTTGACAGTTTTCAGCACATGTTTAGCATTTGAGTTTATGATTATGTGTTGCTGTATTAAGGTGGCTGCTGTGGTGCACAGGAGAAGAGGACCATTATTGGAGGCTGGGGATGGGCCTGGTGTCTGGTGACAGATGTGCAAAAGTAAGAACACTATCTCAATGTGTGTGGGATCAAACTGGTGTAGTATTCATTTTAGTTTATATAATATTCCTTTATATTCAAGGTTACAACTTAAAAATGTCCACTCTTTAGAATATTGATTCAAGAATTAACTGTACAGCTCATTGCTGCTATACAGAGAATGGATTAGCTTTACTAATCATAATGCTATCTCATATGATATCTAAATTGAAACTTATACCTTTCAGAATAAGCTTGGAGGTGATGACTCTCAACCCAATATGTGAGAGTGTAGAGACCTCAGAGGGTGTGCCTCTAACAGTAACTGGGGTGGCCCAGTGCAAAGTTATGACAGAACCAGAACTTCTAGCCACTGCCTGTGAACAGTTCCTGGGAAAAGATGTGAGACAGATTGAAAGTGTCATTCTACAGACTTTAGAAGGTCATTTGAGGGCCATTCTTGGTAAGGGAGTGAAATAGTCCTTTTAAAAAATGTCATATGGCAATCAGAAATATATGAGGCAGTTTCCAATACTGCCTGTGCATTGCCTAAGCTTTTTCAGTATTTTCAATAGTATGGGTCTGTTTTTAGATGATCACTGATTACATAGATGGTGTATAAATGTATTTTAAATGCCTTGTTTTTTAGGTACCCTGAGTGTTGAGGCTATTTACCAAGACAGAGACCAGTTTGCTCAGTTGGTGAGAGAAGTAGCTTCTCCTGATGTGGGCAAGATGGGCATAGAGATTCTTAGCTTTACAATCAAAGATGTATTTGATAATGTGGAATACCTTGCTTCTCTGGGAAGAGCTCAGACAGCCAATGTAAAGAGAGATGCAGATATTGGTGTAGCTGAAGCAAACAGAGACGCTGGAATCAGAGTGAGTTGACATTTTCTTCTATCTGTATGGATTTGATCCATCCAAGTTGCTTGAATAAAATGTACTTAATTATTGTCATCATGGTAATCTCATTATCATTACTTTTTTCAGGAAGCTGAATGTGAGAAAGCACGTATGGATGTTAGATATGAAGCAGACACAAAGATCGCAGACTCATCCAGGGCATTTCAGATGCAGAAAGCTAGTTTTGATATTGAAGTCAATGCCAGGGTAAGGTGGCTCCTGTAGTATCCTGGTGTGTTGATACACTGCTGTCCTTTGTACAATCATCTACTTCTATGGTACAATGTAGTTATCTTAACTTTGTATGCATACTTCACGAAAGCTGAATTTTAAAGTGAATGTCTAAAAAACAAACATTTTTAGTACATAATACTTGTTTGATAATTATCATAAATTTCAGAAAGCTGAGGCAGAATTGGCATATGAACTGCAGGGTGCCAAGGAAAGGCAGAGAATAAGAGCTGAAGAAATAGAGATTGAAGTTGTTGAGAGGAAAAAATTAATTGAGATTGAAGAAAAAGAAATTTTGCGTAAGGAAAATGATTTGGTTGCCACCATTAAGCGACCAGCTGAGGCTGAGGCATACAAGACGGAGGTGCTGGCAGAGGGCAAAAGGTGAAGAATTTAATTGAAACAAGGCTGGGTCGGGGTGTAAACTGGATATGTTGATTAACATATAATTGTAAAATGAGAAATAGAACATTCAAATCACATGAAAACTTGCTTTTCTGAGACAAAATTACAAGATAAACAACATGAATTAAACCTTAGTTTGCATTATCACTTTTCAAAATAGGACCCAGACTGTTGATGTGGCCAAGGCGGAGGCTGAAAAGATCAGGCTTGTGGGTGGAGCCGAGGCTGCTGCTATTGAGGCTGTCGGCAAGGCTGAGGCTGAGAGAATGAGGCTGAAGGCTGCTGCATACAAGCAATATGGAGATGCTGCCATGCTTAGCTTGGTCCTTGAAACATTGCCCAAGGTATTCCTCATGATTTTGAGTTCTAAAAAGAACCTGGCTTAGATGAGCTATAGGCACTGCATGTAAATTAAATGCAAATATTGTGGTTTGTAAATTGTTGCTCAAAAATTTGGAAGATGTCTGTGGTAAATTATGGTCAATATCTTCTTTTTTTTTTTTATTCACTTATGAAGACAATTATTCCGTTAATCCTTTAACAATTGCTAGAAGTTGCACAAACAATTATTTTTTCTCTTCCAGATTGCTGCTGAAGTGTCCGCTCCTCTAAGCAAGACTGAAGAAATTGTCATGATTGGTGATGATCGCACTACTGGGGAAATCAGCCGGCTGGTCAGTTCTTTACCCCCTGCAGTTTCTGCATTGACTGGAGTTGACCTATCAAAGGTAATAAGATTGTAATTATATTGATATATAGAATTATTCTGTCACCTTTTATGCCTGCATGGCATTTCTGATGAATTATGATAATGTTAACACTGATGTAGTTGATATACGGCTTTAGCAAAAATATGAAATCTTTGAAGATAAATACATGTTCTTGGTTTTTCCACTGTGCACAGTTTCCATCTGTTTGGACTTGGACTAAGCATAACTCCTGTTATCTTTTTATTTCAGGTTCTGAGGCAAGTCCCAGGTGCACAGTAAATACTTCATTTCCTTAAATTCTATGGAGAGCGCAACACACAACTGGCAGTGCAAGAAATTTGCAAGACATGACTGTTTTTCCACAAATTAGAAACTAGAATCCATCACTGGAATCCCGTTTCACTTACCTCATTGTGTGATTAGACATTTTTGTGTTAAACCAGATATTAATATATATATAGGAGCTTCTGTTTCTGATTTTTTGGTGAACTTACATGGTAAAAGCTCATTGGTATTTGTTTTCATACAAACTCGAACTTGTATTTGATAAGAATTGCAGCTCTACTTAGAAATGAAAATCAAGAAAGTTTTTCAGATGACCTACATTAACTCAGCTCTTTATACTGAGAGCATAATTTGGTTTTTATGAAACAGAAAAAGGCTACTAGACATTCATAATCCAGCATGTTTCATTTCACAAAGTGTAGAGATGATGAGATATTGCAATGCAGCATGTAAAAATGTTTATAGAATAATTGCCCTATATTCTAGCTGTAGTGCTGATGAAGAAAAAAATTGTTTTGATAAAATTGGCATACATGTATTATAATGTTTGAAGAGCCAGTTTTAGGAGCACTATAACTAGAATTAAGAGGCAGAATCTGCAGTGCATTCTTGTTTAGGTGTGTTCTGTATTGTAAATATTTATTTCACTATGTAATTACTTGACACTAGTAAATTTTAGTATCCTGGAGTTAATAATCAAAGGAACTGGTGTGCAGCAAGTGTTGTTTATATCAGTAATAAGATTTACTACATAGTAGCAGTGAAGGAGGTGCCAAACTGTCACTGTCTTGATATAAGAGTTATGTTAACTATGCTAAAATCATGGCAGGATTTTAGAATGCAAATAGCATTTAAATGTCAGGCATTATTTTCACAAAGAAATTGCTTTACAAAATGTAATAGCAGTTCTTGATAAACCAGAGGGTATTTTTCAAACAAAGCAAATTAACTACACAGCCCGTCTTTATTCAGCAATTGTGCAAAAATAGACTTTACATGTATATATACTCAAATAGGACTATCTAGATCAATATCACTATGTTCAATGGCAGCATTTGCTTGTTTAAGGAAAAGAATGGGGCCTTATCATTCAAACTGGTAACTTGAGGTTTTTATTTTTGAAACGTTGGAACCCCTCTCCACCCCCTCCCCATTTGTTTATTATCTTTTGTTCTTTATTGTTAAGTTATATTTTATTACATTAGTAATGTAATACATTGGGCTTTTTATTTGTCTACAATGTATTTTATACCATAGTAGTTAATTGCATTTTTATCATTCATGTTTATGTTTGGCACTTTGCCATTTCCAAGTAAAATACCAAAGCCAGCGTATCTTTTTTTAAGTAAATGATTGTGTTGGCCCACTTTTGTCATGTAATTCCTATATGTAAGTAGATCAATGTTCAAAGGACAGAAGCTTTCAAATGTATTCCCCTCCTTCCCCACAAACTTCTGACCTCTTAGCACATTAAATTACCCAGAGGCAAGCGTTTTCTGGAAAGTTATAACTGAGACCATTTATGATTGCTTTAACCCACTTTATATTCTCCTTGTAATCAGTATTGCTCCTCAGCAGTTAAGTATTCTACTAATATCCTTAAAAGAGAAAACTGAATTAACAGTTCTCGTTGTAAAGCATGCAAGTTTTTAAACAAATTTCTTATTTTTTCAGTGAATTTGTATTTTAGAAATTGTTGTTAGTTTGTAATTGTATTACATGTAATTTCCGTAGAAATAAACGTACCCAAGATAAAAAGATAACTTTTTTATTTCTTAAACATTACTGTAAAACATCAGGTATTTTTTATTTTTACAACTGGGCTGAATCAGTTCTGCAGAAAACTTAAAATGACTGAAAAATTGGCAGTGGACATGAAGTCTATTTTTCATATGTCATACATCAGAACCAAGATGTACCCGATTATTCATATATCAAGGTGTACACTGGTTCTTTTTGTTCTTTACATACATATTCCTCCTTCACTCAGCATTCTCATATATTTATATACAAAATATCAAAATGTATTTAAGTGGGATAAGCTATCTGAGGATGTAGGGAAGTCCTCCCCATTCCTGTCAGGTTCTCCTCTCCTATGCTAGCTGTATCCACTGACATCAGACCAGGCACTCTCAACATCACTGCCATCAAGGTCCATCTGAGGAGAAGATAATGTATGAAAGTTATTTCTAAAAATATTCAAGTAAATTAAAAAAAATTAAAGAATAGTTGATAATAAACTCAACAAATTATACATTTTAGCAAAAGTAAATTGTGCAATAGCAGACAGCTGATCGTTTCATTCAAAGAAATATTTTATTTCTGTTTTTTAGCATAAATCTCATAGGTCTGAATATTTTGAAAAGGTAACAAGTTGGCTTTACATCATTGTCTGTCCCATCCATGTCCTCTACTTCCAGGTCGTAAGCACTCTCCAGTCCCACTTCTGTGTTCTTTTCCACACGCTCCATTCCTTCACGGGCTTGCTTGTTGCCAGGGTCAAGACTGAAGAGTGGGAAAGGTCTTTTATATTATAAACATGCTATGTACAACATTGTGGTAAAATTTGATCAATGTTTTTGATAGTGATTTAAGGTAGTCCTCTCATATTAGCTTTTTTTGCGATCTGCGCAGGTTTCGCGCATGAGTAGTTTTTTGAGATAGCGGCTAATTATGAAAATAAAACATGCCATAAAATACGTAATTCATCTTTTTAAGAAATTTGTATGAAATCTTTGATGTTATTTTGGTCGAAGCGCTACGAATATGTCAACTATGCGTTGCGTATGAGTGAACGCTTGGTCTTTTACGACGTAAAGTACCCACTTGCGACTTTGTTTACAAATACCGCATGTAAGAAGTTACGCGAAGAAGGGATTGAAAAGAGCGTTTTAGTAAGGCTTGTATAGCAGTGACATGATCTTATCTCACGGAAAACATTCACAAGGGCTTGTATTTTGACCACAAAGTGTATTGTGGAGATTTGTCATATGGTTACGATGTGTGCAACAAGACATTGCCTTCTTCCGATCACCCAGGGCCAAGTTACCGTGATTTAATGCTGAAAACAATTCTCTTCTTTCACAATAAGTTAAAATAATTAGATTCATGGCGTTTTGTTGTTGATTTAAGTAGGTTATTGAAAAATATGACCTGCAAACAGTGCGATTTTCAGCTCTCCAGAAGAGATGCAACCGGTGTGCACCCGCCTGGCGTGTTGCGACGTCATTCTTGTAATGGTTTTGTTAAAGTGCAAATGGACAAAACCATAAAACACACAACAGAGGACCAAGGGTTTTTATGCAGATACATGTAATACTTTTTTGATGCTAGGAAAATAAACAGTATATTTTAGAAGATAAAGTGTACTTTATTCCAACTTTATCCTAATTTAACCAATCATAAACAAGAGACTTTAGTTTGTAAATTTATTACTTCACAGAAATAATTCAGCCCATAATGCATTAAAAGAAAGTCTTGAGTTACAAAATTTAGTTAATTTTTGCAATGATGAAAGTGAAGAAAATCCTTTTTTCTGATTTATTATTTTATCCCAGTCAATTGACTAAATCTTGTGTGAAACCTCTACCAAATTCTGTAGAAAACCTTGTTTGTAAAAAAATAATTTCTCCATGTGTAGGAAAAAAATTAAGCTGTCAGGGTTAACATATCAGAATTTGTAATTGCTTTTCAAAGAGAAGGTCGAGATGGTCTTTATTTTCTTCTCAGTGAAATCAATCCAAACACAAAAAAACACGAGTAACAAAATGCATAAAAGTAATAAAAAAATTGTATTAATTTTTAANCCCTTCCTTTACTCTTCCTTTCAATCACAAATAGTTTCTACCTATACAATTTCTCATAAAAAGCAGACGTCAGAAGTTAAAGAAATTTAGGGATTCTTTAACGTAAATTGTCCACTTTGGCGGAAGAGACGATCGGTGGTGAGTAAGGCGTCCGAGGCATTCTTTTCAATTCTGCCATTGCAATTAGCTGTTCTGTCAGCCGCCCTCTGAACACCTGGCTGATAAACAAGGACTTTCACTTTAGACTTAAGCAAACTGTGTATTACCCTTTAAATTGTAAAGAAACTGCTTGTGGTAATCTACTGTTATCGCACCATCGACAGAAGTTATCTGAAAAAGAAAAAATACACTTAAAAACATGACGGGGAGTAAATGTAACAGCCTTAATACGCTGCAAGGGTTTGGGTACTGACGTCATCCCTTAGGACAATTTCATATTATTGAGCACGCAATCATATTTACTCAATTTCTCTTCGCAGACCAGATGTTGTGTGCTTATGCGGAAAAAGTCCTCCTGTAGTTTATCGCATTGCAAGAAGACTCCTAATGAATTTGAAATTATTTTCGTGAGCTAGGATGAGAATTTTAACTTTATAGATAGTAAAATAGTGAGGAAAACGCATAGAAAAGGCTGTTCCCGTTATAAAACATCTTCCCTATGCATACAGTTTGACTGAATAAACTAAGCCCGCAAGAGGGCAGCAGGAGCAATAGCAGCCGACGCATCTGTCTGAGCCGAAGAGATAAACTGGAGACCGCCTTGGTACCTGTTACTATGCAAAACATTTGGTCAGTGTTTTATTTTAGTCGACATTGCAGCAGAATGCTATTGCAAGTCGAGAATGCCAAACTTCATATATTCTCTACATACACTTTTTCATGTAGTGAAGTTTTGTTTAGTCCTATAATATAAAAAGTCCATCAGGGGCCTAATGACGGTCGTTTTTTTTTTTTTTTTTTTTTTTTTTTTTTTTTTTTTCATAGCATAGTCATACTGACTGGTTCATATCAATATGGACCCCTCTACCACCCCCATCTCAAGTGGTATTTTAATCAGGCCCAATATTTAACTCCTCTTGGCAAGTCTGAAATCAAAGAGATAAATAAGTTAATGAATTAAAAAACTGAAAGAAAAAATGTCAGTGATGTTAAAGAGAAAGGCGTACCACCTATACCATCTTGCTAAATCTAGTTATATCTATAAAGTTTGTACTAACGGTGTACTAACTTAAGTAGTTCAAAAATAAAAGGACCAAAAAGTTAATTTATTGATAAATTTGAATTTACCAATAATTCAAAGATACAAATATGAAATATCCCAGTTTGATGCAGTCTTTATACGACAGCTTTTTGCGGCTGTGAAGAATTCTGTGATCCAGCATATTTTGAGGCTCTTATGTCCGAGCATATATGCTTAATAATTGAGCGCTTCTTTGTACCATATTGTGAAAAAATTCTAATCTCTTTGATACCATGTGAAATCAATGTCTATTTTAGCGATTCCGTGAATCATTCATTGTTCTCTTGTGAAGAGGGTGCCTTTTCCAGGGGCCGGTCCAGGGTTTTTTGAAGGGGGGGGGGTCTTTTTTTTTAAGAATGACGTTCAGGCCTCGGATGCGAAGCCGACTCCTGCCCCCTTGGTGCGGGGTTCGGTGTTTTGGAGGGCAAGCGGTGCCATCTGGTGCAGTTTAGAACTATGATTCAGCTCTTCAAAATTCTAATATCAAGAGGGGAATGTTGATTTGATATATTTTTTTCAGAAACCTAAGGAGAATGGGGACCCCACTGACACCCCCCAAATCCGCCACTGTTTACACTATATTAGGCTTCGTTCACATGCAATGTCTATTTTCTAAATTCTATTTTCTATTCGCGCTATCTTATAATNCGCGCTGCCAGTAATGACGCCGCGGGATACCCAGGCCAAAGACCGTGATCATAAGACATACCGCAAATAGAAAATAGAATTTAGAAAATAGACATTGCATGTGAACGAAGCCTAAGTCTGGGTGTTGTTGGAAGGTCCTGTAGTGGGATAGTTAGCTACCTACTTTCTTTTACACATGTGAATAGGACTTACATATCTTAATAACTGACATGTAGGACTGGGCATTGAAAGTTTTGCAAGAAACAGATAGAAACAGACTGTCAGTGCAGTCCATCGCATTACACCCCGATCTCGAATGCTGATCGAAAATGATTGTTTCGCAGCACCGCTATGCTGGATAGCTGAATTCCAGAAGCTGAATGTGTTAGGCAGTGATTGTGCTTGGATGTGGTTTGATATGACATCAATGTAACCGTATCCAGTCATCCTTGTCTCTGTTAAAACGTTCACGGAAACGATAGTCAACACAATCAATATAGTAACCCGCAGTGGAGTTTCAGACCACAATTGCGGTAGGTGTGATGAATGGCACTGTTACGAAATAATCAACACAATGGTTAAAATTCCCAATCGGTTCAGTTTAACTGTAAATATCATATATTTATGACACATTTACAATTCAACATATTTCTGCCTTTTCTTTACAAATGATACCAAAGCCTGTTTGCTGTGAAAAGATCCAATTCTTTTTTCAGTGAATAATGTCAGAAAAATAGTTTCTTCACGCAAAACCCCACTATTATACATTTTTAAAAAATATACTTCTACTTTTGTTTGGTACTTTTTCAAATTGATATTTTCCCTTTTTACCTGCTAGCAATGGTCTTCTTAGTCTTCTGTAGCTGTTACAAAATTGGACAAAAGACCCTAAAGGGATTTGAGTCATCCACTCCTATGGAACTACCTCCACCTGATCACAATTAAATGCCCGATCTCTGATTTTTGTAACAGCTAGAGAATACTAAGAAAACCCCTGGTAGAGGGCAATCCTGTTCAACAGAAATGAAAAACACATTTGAACCTTTTCATCTAGAAAAGATGTATTGTTTTATTCTGGTATTGGGAATATTTACTTAGTATTTGTTGTGCGCCTGAATTTGGTCAACCAGTCTCCAAATTCATACTTTAGACACCATTTGGAGGTAAAACTAACGGGGCCGTAGCAATAGTCCAAAGGGTCAATAGTCCGAAGGTTCATTGGTCCGAATGTTCACCAGAGAACTTTTGGACCAATGAATCCTTGATTTAAAAACTGATAAAAATGTTACCATTTTTCAGACCAATGAACCTTCGGACTAGCGAGACGCCCCAAGCTAACAGAGGTAGTCCAAATGCAACTTACTCTGACACCATCATGAATGATGCTGGTCTGAGTTCCTTGCAATAATAAGACAGACAGAAACAACTCTGGTCTAAACATGCTGTTGCAGCTGCCCAAGGGCAAAAGATGATGATGATAAAGATGATGTAAGATAATGTTACACCTTTCACAGCCCCATGCTCTCTCTCAATAGTTTTTTTAGTAACATATCTATTGTAAAAAATGGTATTAATCTAATAGAATCCATTTGAATCAATACTGTGGCCAACTTTTACTCAACTAGATTAATATATTTCCACATATACCTGGTAATACTAGTAAATTTTACTGAAGGCCTACTAGTATTAGTTTACTTAAATTCTATTCATTTTGCAGCCCAACATGGAAGTAAAATATATATCTTGATTGGAAATAATTTCTAAAGAGACTAAACACACTTTTCTGACTCTTTAGAGACAAGTCTCCTTAGAAAAAAAAATTTAACATCATTACGCATGATAGTACATGTATGAACAACACAGCAAAGCCCTCAAATGTACATACAATAAGCAGGAAATAATGATGCACAAAATAAGTTATGGATAAGTCTCTTACAAAAGAATTATTTTTTAACATTATACATTAGACTATGAATACCTATTTCACCATATATCAGGGTTGTTTTTGCAAAAATAAATTTGACTTTCTACCAACACATGACTAGAGCTCATACTTCTCATAATTAAAAAAACATTAATAATGATAAAAATGATAAAAAAAAAATCTTCATTAAAACGTGCCCATCTCCTGAGTTGAAAGAAATGAAGGCACCTTAAAAAGTTGTTGGACTTGTACCTTTTTTAATTCATCTTGTTTACCTTTAGTACATACATTCCATTATTCTAATGAACTACTGTATTATTTATATAGAACATTATGTGATATTACTGTGATATTGAAAAACGTAAAAAAATATTCATCAAGAATCAAGACCATAGGTAGGGGTTGGAAGGGGGTCACACTATCAGGGAAAAGGTCTGAATCAAAATCTGATCTAGATTTAAAGCTAGTGCTGTACCCTCTGTAGACTATATGCCAATAAAGTCCACTTTAACACAAAAAAGAATGCCAATAATGTATTCAGGATGCACTCAGACCAGTCCTAATTGTGCTTTCCATGAGTTCATTAGCTCCATTGTGACTGTGCTGCCCCCACACACTATCACCAAGGCAGAGTGCACCTGCTCCAGTTTCCTCTCTGCCTGCAGCTTGTGGAGGACATCAGTATAGATTACTGCTAATGCAGCACCACAAGCTGGCTCCACCATCATTCTGTGGTCATCTGAGAGCAAATAAGATCTTATTTCACTTGTTAGGACAGATGTTTTAGTAAAGTTATACAGACCAGAATTAAAATTTACATATAAATTCTCACACATATTATACTGTTTTACTACAAAACATTTGAGAAACATTATTATTATTATTATTATTGGGAGGAGGTCGTTAAAAAACAAATTTCAAATGTCATAATTTATAATAGGTAAAACTAGTTATTCTTACCAGCAAATCTATGACATGCCATGACAGCATCCTTGTCTGATACCACCACTGAGTGAAAGATGTATTGCTTGTGCTGGTCCCAAAGCTGTTTGGAAACTACTGTGGATCCAAGGCTCTTCGCTATGCTGAAACAAAGAAACAATACTGGGAATGACATGGTAAGACCAAACTTAATGTTTTGAACCTTTTATGATTTTCCCCATAAAGCTCTGTAACAAAGATAGAAGACATATTAATTTTGGTATGTTTTTTTATGTAGTCACACTCTTTCAATACCTAGATATCCCTGGCAAGGTAACAATTTTGCCAGCCTGTATTGCAGCATTCAGGCAGTTAGCTCCTTCTGTTTCTACAGCTACCACAGGAATGTGCTGCCAACCAACTTTTGTCATCCCTGAAAAGGAGAAGACATCAATCACACTCTCATCACTGAATTGAAGGAACCTCTTGTATGCAAAAATATGTCGAATTCTAATAAGCCATCATTATATAGAATCCAATGTCTGACACATTTCTGCCACTATGAGAAAAGTGAAAATGTTTACCCAAAGTTGGAGCTAGCACACTTAAAACAGTATTGGAAATAAGTGTTTTCATACATTATTTGAGAAGAATAATCATACCTTCCAAAATGCCATTCATTAAGCCTCCTCCCCCCACAGATGCAATGACAGCACCTGGGGGATGATGCATTTGTTTAGCTGCCTCTACAATCATTGTACTATGTCCAGTCCTAAAACAGCAAGTGCATCACATTTGAAATTTCTGTTATCATGTCAATCAGAAGCTCTATGTAAAATAAATTAGTTTCAAAATATCAGTGAAACTCCCTTTTATATCAGCACATGTTGTCATTGCTATTATCAAACTAAATGCCAAGAGCACCTGTATGCCAGCAATTTTCAATAGGAAAGTCAGGGTGTGGAAATCAAACCAAAAGTATGATGATGTGCCGAAAGCTACATATTTTAGGCAAAGATGATTCATTGCACTTACCAAATATCAGGATGCTCAAAGGGATGGACCATTACGTAACCTAATAAACAATGTTTTGTAAAAGTTATTATATGTATTTGTTTAAGTGCTACAAAAAACAAAAGGCAGATAACAGATATTTTCACTTACTGCATACCTTATGCTAGTACAAGAACATATTTTGTTCTAAATAGTCTTTCTTAACTATAACAGTGAACTATGAAAAAGCTTTTTCAAGGTTTCTAGATACTAGGATGCTAAAACAGAATTATTCCTAACTTAGAAACTAAATTATAAATGCAACATTTTGGACCACCATCAATGGACCTTTGACATGTGAATGGCCATTTTGCACCAGAATCAAACGTCCAGGAAGAAGGACACTATTGCAAACCCAATTTCAAGAATAATTCTGCTTTCTAATTACAGTGAATTAAGCCTCTCAGAAGGTGATAATTCATTTAGATGAAGATATATTTACAATGTTGTATATTATGGGTCAAATCAACTCTTTTATATAATTCACTCATAGTTTATACCATAAGTTAACTTATTTCATATATTTCCAGCTGATCATCATATAAAGTCTTCATACCAGGTTTACTGGCCATCTTCAAGGCCAACTCATTTGCTTCATTCCAAACTTTCCCATGTACTTCAACCTCTGCTCCCTAAAATGAAGAGACTTTTTTTATTTAAAGTAGTGATAATGGTGGTGGTGGTTGTGCTGCTGAGGGGGGTGTAATCAAACATATTTTAACTTAAGATCTTTCAGTTAACGGAAAATATAAACATTCACCTGAAAAGATTTACTCCTATTAGGGTATAAGGTATTATTAAAATAACACATGTACTGTACAGTATATCACATATTCAAATATATCGAAAATTACTATTCAGTAGTCTTTGATATGTGTCATAAATCACCGAACCTCATCTTTTAGCCTGTCTCTGGTAAATGGAGGTGTTGTCTCAGGCACTACAATGGAAGCATGCAGACCAAGTTTCCTTGCTGCATACGCTGCAGCCAGGCCTGCATTTCCACCAGAAGAACTGACAATTCCACTGCAACCTTGCTGTGCAGCCTTTAAAAATGGTATAAAGTATGATTAATTATGTTCATTTTATTAAATAAATGTAAATCTGAGGTATGGCTTACCAGTTGATCGGCGGAGTAACTAGTCTGGGGAACAAATGGCGCACACTTGACAATGAATTCCTGTATTCCTAAGGTGCATTCCAAGCAGGGGCAGAGCACTTTCAAGTGGATCACACCATATTTGATCCCTGGACTACAGTACTAGTAGTTAGTTAGCAGATCAACTGATTCTGAATGTTGCCTTGGAATAGCTTTGAAATTAGGATACAGTATGATGTAAAGTCAATAATTAAATACCAATGGGCCATCCCAAAGTATTTTCGCTTTCTGTTACATTTTTGACACTTTTAGTTCTACTAATTCATTACTTGGGAGTTTCTAGCAAAATGGAGAATTTTTTTTATTCCATTGGGTATGCAGCGTCAAAGAAGAAAATGATATATATGGGATTGCACTTACTGTGGAATCACCCAACCAGTGCAAATAAACAGATTATTTAAGCAGCAACTGGATGGTGTATGGCTTGTTTTAAAAATCACACATACAGGGTAAAAAAAAAAAAAAATATATATATATATATATATATATATATATATATATATATATATATATATATATATATATATATATATATATACTGAATATTAAAAATATTAAGGATTTACTATGCAAAATTCATAGCAGCTCTTGTGACCTTACCTTCTGACACAAATTTCCTATCCCTCTTATCTTAAATGAACCAGTTGGTTGACAATTCTCTAGCTTCAAATAAACAGGAAAGCCTCCCAACTTGCTCAGCACTGTGCTTTCTATCAATGGTGTCTGCACATGAAGAGGATCAGATGTATCTGCCATACTGCTGTCATGAAATGTGATAAATACATGAAGATTAACCACACATCTTCAGCCGCTTTTTCCTAACACTGTCACTCCCTACATTAAAGGAACATTCCACATGATTGACTTTCTTCAATTTTAGATGAAAAAAAAATGTTACACTTAACTTGAAAATCTTCTTGAAAATTCATGATACTTTACCCATACTTCAAGTTATCAGTGGCATATATTGATATTTTTTACCAATAAATGAAACATGAAGTATTTCAAATGCCTTCAACATTAATCCACATGTTGAATGTAGACTTGCTTATACTATGTTCAATATCACAAGGACCAATATATATTTCATGAAACAGATAGAATTTATTTATTGGTCATGTTTTTTTCTATACATTTCATGAAACAGATAGTGAGATTTTATTTATTGGTCATGTTTAATTCTATATATTTCATGAAACAGATAGTGAGAATTTATTTATTGGTCATGTTTTATTCTATATATTTCATGAAACAGATAATGAGATTTTATTTATGGTCATGTTCTACTCTTTTCTAAGTCCCATACATATGTTATCAAGTACCCCTAATACCTTCATCAAATTTTAATTGTTCACAACAAAACCATTGCAACATGATGTTCCTTTACACTGTCCGTGTGTTATATTTTAATGGTTATTTATAACAACCCTTGCATTTCTTATGATCTCAATCTTATGGTATATTTATATGTTATGTATTTATACTGGTAATCAATGGAAAAGCTCGCTTTATTTGTCATTTATAGCCTCGCCCATATTCCATTTAATTATTAGCTCTTCTGCTTATACCTTCAGTTCAATTTGTACACAAAAATTGAAACTGAAACCTCAGTTCGCTTTCGATTCAACAACAGCAACAACAAAAACGACACACCTGCCCTGGTAATTGGTGGTAAACGACTCAAAATACGACACTAAAAATTATCGAATTGAGCCTGCGCATACTATTAGCACATAATAAAATCAATGCTTATATCATTAAATAACGCTGCAAAAGTGTAGTTTTACGTTTACTCGCCACAAATATCGAATAACCTTTGACCTGACACATAGTTGATGTCAAGTTGCGGACGCGTCACTGGAAACCACGCTGAGCAAGACCCGCGGGTGCAATTTTTGGCTTACAGGTCCCCGTGTGTGAATACTGATAAAAAAATTCTGATGCAGACTAAGAGAAGGCTCATAATCTAACAATGACACGCACGTTAAAGTCTACAAACAGTGAAGATCACCGTGCTTGCTTGCTTACTTACCCAATGTGCGACCTGCCGGAAGTTCGTTTACGAGAGAAATGTGACACAACTACCGCAATCGGCGAGTTGGCTTGGGCAACGTGGGCAAACTGCTTCTTGATAGACAACCTCCGGTGCTTTTTATAAAAAATCATATCATAAAATATAGGTACTTTATTTGACATATTATTATTTAAATGTTATAATTACTATTTTCCCTTGCAAAAAAAATTAAGATGCCTACTGTTCAAACAAGAAAATAACAATGGAATCTATGAACTTCTTGAATTTATTTACAATGGGTATAGAAAGGGCTTTAAAACAATGTTATTTACAGATTCAACTTTGTATTAAAATACGAATGTTACATAGATCCACTATTGACTATCACACCTACCTTTTCTAACAAAGTTTGCAAGACCTTCTGAGGCAAAATCAATGCACATATTCATCTCATTCATATATTTTATCACTATACATCCATAACTATAAAATTATATTCTACTGCACATTTTTGTCACTATAAATCTAATTTCTTTAAATATCAACATTTCAATAGATACTGTATTGTCGAGATTCAAGGTGTAATCTGTAGTGTTATTTACCCACATCTCACAATGTCTTGAGATAATTCAAAGAAATGAACATGTATAATCAATGCTGTGGTCTTTAAAACAGCACTGGAAATGTCTATCATTAGGTCACTCACTGGAATATTTAACAGTGCAGTATCATAATATTAATTCATTGTATGTATGTTGTGTATTTTGGTGCTCTATAGAGGTATCATTTATCATCACTACTGAACAGGTTCCTGTCATTCACTGGCACTGGATTTAAATTACATTTAACAACAACCAATTCTGTCACTTAGTGTTCTTCCATAAAACATTTAGAGAAGACTCCAAGAACTGCCCTCGTCCCTGCCATATTTAATTGCTCCAATTCACTGCATGGGTTCCTTTGTTGTGTACAATATTGGAATAAATATGTGGTTTCATTTTTTTGCAGTTTTCAGTCACATTTCAAGAACTAATCACAAAAAGTAATCAGGTTGTGGTTTCTTTGATGGAATTCCTCTAGTGTCCTGAAAAAAAAAGTCCAAAAATAAAATTTGCACTCCAAATCTACCTTCATGCACAAAAAAATTCACATTCAAGAACTCTTTATGTTCTATTCATCACTTATCAAAAATAAGTTCAGTCTAAACTAAATGCATCAGAAACAGGTTGCAGTTTCTACAATAGTACAACTGGCTTTTCTATCCAGACAGACCTAACTAAAACATGGGAGACACTTGCTAATCTAGAATATGTGTACATTTGTAAGGTCAGGTTTAAAATTTTGCGACTATTCATTGCAGTATCTTTACCTGTGGTGCAGCCTCAAATATTGTATAATCCCGCTGCAGGTGTTCATCTAATTCTAATATGGCGGCAACATTACCACATCTGAAATAATGAAACAAAAACATGAAACTTGACAAAGGTTCTTGTTATTGAGATATTTTACAAAGACACTGAGACAATTGCATGCATGTTTATTTACAGCGGAGAGCGACTGCTTTCTAAATTTGAATCAAAGTGATCTATTACATTTCCCAAAACAAGTGGGATTTAAAAAAGATATTTTAATAACTCTATAATCCAATTTTATAGCAGACTTAATTTTGGTGAAGAGCCTAAAATGACAATTCTTAAAATCGCAATATACAGGATGAGGTGCTTTAAATTCATTTTTTTCAACATCTATAATTTTTTTGTTAATTCTGAGGAAAAAAGAATTGAAAACTTTTATTTTCAAAAAAGTTCCATAAATGATTTAACTGGCTTTTTTCTTTACTTTGTACTATCTATTCTAATATATTAATATTTTAACTGTCTACATATTTACTTACATTGTACTATTATTTTTAATATCTTAACTGTCTATTTATTTATTAACTTTATTAATCTTATTCTGTTCATTTTACCCCTGTAAAGCCTACTGAACATTTTATATGAATTTTAGACCATAAATAAATATTATTACAATTATCTTTCCAACTACCATTACCTACCTGTAACAATAGTTAGGTGCTGACCATACAGTAAGAACAGTCTCATTGAAATGCCATTTGTAGCCTTCCATCACCAGCTGATGTGCTCTACATATGAGATCTACATTGTTGGCAGCATTAAACTGGGCCACCACATCACTTCCAAATAAATAACCAGCACCACGGGGACTAACACCCCAGCCCAGGGTATCTGCAACAAAGGATTCATTATTGATCTTTTACTTTGAAATGTGGAGAAAAAAACATTTATTAAGTACATGGCCATTATGAATACTCAAGTACATATTAAAGTCAAACTAATCACATCTGACAATTTGGTTATAGGGTTCTTACTTAAATTACTCTGGGCACAATTTTGAACAAATACTGAAGTTCTATCTTATGAGGCGTTTAAAGACCTACCTTCAGGGTCTGACCATAGCAAGTCACACATAGGTCCATCATGGGGAACTTCTTGCTTTCTGTCAATTGCTCTGATTTGATCTAATGTCTGAATGGACGGTGACAGACCCCCATGGACACAGAAGATCTGGAAATGTGTAGTTTTTAAAAAGTGACATCAGTTAAAATATATACAACCACAAAAGAAACACTTCACATAATGATTTGTTGATGTCCAATGCAGGTCTTTCTTCTGATGATCTGATCTTGCCACTTCCCTTATATCTATTTAACTCAAAGAAAGTATAGATTTAACAATATAAGCAACCAGTTGAGCTTTAAAATGTCACTGGTCACATGATACGGAGACTGTGTGGAATAAATGATATACAGTACAATACTAATATGCAATATGATCGGAAAGAGGAAAAAACTAATGGAAAGACGAAAGGGATCACTATCTATAAGTAATGTCACAACATGTATCTGCATGCTTGATTCTTTTTTTTTTCTTTTATTTATTTTTTCATTCAATAATTTTATTAATTTACTTATACACTTTTTTATGGGAGGGGGGGGGGGGGTGCAATAACTCCCATCTATGGATTACACAAAAGGTAATACATACCTTTCCATCAATGATTGCTGAAAGACTTAAATAGTCAAAAATTTCTGTACAATATCTCCACACTGTTATGGATCCATATTTCCTAAGACATTCATCATAAAAACCATACACTTGAGTAATCTGACGACTTTCATGATTGCCTCGTATAAGCATTATCCTATCTGGATATCGTACCTGAAAGGATAAACAATGGATTTTTAACACATATCCAAAAAAAGTTTTGGGTTGTTTCTACACAAATATTAATTCAACTTAGAACAAATGAACTTTTCAAAAAATAGAAAAAAACTCACTTACTTTTAATGCTAATAGTAATAAAAATGTCTCAACACTGTAGAATCCTCGGTCCACAAAGTCTCCTAGAAACAGATAATTTGTATCTGGAACATCTCCTCCTACTTTGAATAATTCCTTCAAGTCATAAAATTGGCCATGGATATCTCCACATACCTGAAACAGATGAGTGAATGGTTTTAAATCATCACAATACTGTCTCTAAACAAACAGACAGATATCATCAATGATAATAATTGCTATCACACTACAACACACCAGATTTTTAAGTTTAAGATGTAAAAATGATCTGAATGTTCATGGAATATTTAACTTACTGTGACTGGTGAATCAACTCTCTGTACATTACTTTCTTCCACTAAAATTTCTCTTGCTTTGGCACATAATGCTTTCACTTCACTTTCTTTGATAATTTCACATCGGCGGAGCTGCTCTATCTGTCGATCTAAATCACTTGTGTCAGACATTATCCCTATAACCAAAAAACAAATACCATGGTAAATCATGCCCATCCTGTTTAAGTCCCCCACATTTCACACACAGATGCTCTGTGATACATTTAAAAAAATTATCAAACTTTTAACTGATCAGTTTTAAAAATGGCAATTGTATTATAAAGCCAGCCATTTCTCAAAAGTTTGAACGTCATTTATATACTAACCACACTGTTTACGACACTTTTGTTTAATTATATGTGCAAAACGATAAAATATTTACACTCAGCTTGAGTGGGTAAATCAAAAATAACAAAAAAAAAGTGTGCTACTGCTATTTCTTGCAAATTCTGCCGCTGATATAATTTATGACGAATGAATTGCAGTGACAAGTCCGTCGTTTGTCAATAAAAATCTAGATGGGAAAGCTATACATCCGTCACATAATCGTCAGACATATCTTTATATATCAGAATAATATCTAAAATTGCGTTAACTCTTACAAATACTCACCAGGCAAACTAACAACTAATTTTCATTTAAATAACCCCCGGTGTTACCACTGAGCTTGATGTCTGTCTGTTCGTCGCAGATGCTCATGACGCATAAGTAGATCGAACGTTAAAATAACGTACAAATGGCTCATTTGGGATTAATTTGTCACTAAAATAATATAAATCATGTAGATTAAGTTAAATAATAATAATTAAGAATAATCAAAGGGGGATTTCTTTTATCATCATTGTTGTTGATATCATATAATAAGTTGCTGGTGGGATGTCATGATCGAGAAAATGAATTTTTATTTTTATCTGTTATAATTTTCACCTTTCTTGTCGTTTACACATATTTCCTAATACTAGGTGTTAGAAGAGTATTCAATTCTTATCATGCTATCATTTAATATGACGTGATCACGAGTAGGCGATTGCGAAATAACGAGAGGTCGGTCGCAGGTCGCCATTAAGAACAACAACAAAACATCTGCAAACCTCATTCTGTTTTCTTAGCTTCCATGATCTAGTAAGTTGACAGGATGGGGAATATCAACACCACTGGGCCCAACGAAGCCTTGGTCATATCAGGTTGGTAAAGTTAATTCTGCACTGTCGTGCGATCGTTATTTCTGCTTGGAGATGTTACGTCCTAGTTGTAATCGACCTGAGTTTGCCCCTCCTTTTTACTACTACTGCTACTACTAGCAATATTACTATTATTATTGCAGTTAGTGCTATGCTGCGTTATTTGTAATATCATATGCGATGATCAGCGACAGCTTTTTATTCACAATTTATGGTGAATTTTGTTGGTTTACAACAGTGAAAACAAGTATGGTACACGAATGTCCGTCTATTTTATGCCTATTTCGAAATCATCGATTTTCATGCGTATCACTATCAGGTTGTTACGATACAGTGTACTGTTTATTGGGCTTACTCTAAGCACGTTTAAGTCAAATTCATATCTTACTTTAATTTGTTTAAGGGAGTATGAAATGTTCGCTTTAGATTTGACTTAGCATTGACAACAAAAATTCATCTCAGGGCTCTTTAGAGTGAACCCAGGGATGGTGATATTTTTTGTTTCTGTTTCAAGGCAGACAGATTTCTATTTACTGATATTGTGAAATATAAATCCAGTAATATGCACTTATTCATTAAATGATATATGCAGTTGAATATTCAGTAATTTCCTGTCAAAAATGTAGGGTACATACTGTAACTAATGGTTATTACGCAATCATCACATATTTCACCACCTGCTACTGCATCATTTGATAACTTTTTAATTACTGTTGATTGCTGCAACAAGTGGAGGGTACTATGATATTGTGTAAAACAGCAAAAATAGTGGGAAAAGAGAGAATTATGCAGATATCACAGAAAATGTGAGCATCACTGATATGTGTGTCTTTGTGGACCATTTTCGCTTGCTTCTGACTTAATTTTCTTTTTGACAGTTTTCAGCACATGTTTAGCATTTGAGTTTATGATTATGTGTTGCTGTATTAAGGTGGCTGCTGTGGTGCACAGGAGAAGAGGACCATTATTGGAGGCTGGGGATGGGCCTGGTGTCTGGTGACAGATGTGCAAAAGTAAGAACACTATCTCAATGTGTGTGGGATCAAACTGATGTAGTATTCATTTTAGTTTATATAATATTCAGTAAAACATGCCTTTATATTCAAGGTTACAACTTAAAAATGTCCACTCTTTAGAAAATTGATTCAAGAATTAACTGTACAGCTCATTGCTGCTATACAGAGAATGGATTAGCTTTACTAATCATAATGCTATCTCATATGATATCTAAATTGAAACCTATACATTTCAGAATAAGCTTGGAGGTGATGACTCTCAACCCAATATGTGAGAGTGTAGAGACCTCAGAGGGTGTGCCTCTAACAGTAACTGGGGTGGCCCAGTGCAAAGTTATGACAGAACCAGAACTGCTAGCCACTGCCTGTGAACAGTTCCTGGGAAAAGATGTGAGACAGATTGAAAGTGTCATTCTACAGACTTTAGAAGGTCATTTGAGGGCCATTCTTGGTAAGGAAGTGAAATAGTCCTTTTAAAAAATGTCATATGGCAATCAGAAATATATGAGGCAGTTTCCAATACTGCCTGTGCACTGCCTAAGCTTTTTCAGTATTTTCAGTAGTATGGATCTGTTCTTATAGATACTCACTGAATACATGGATTGGTGTATTCAATGTATACCTCAATGCCTTGTTTTTAGGTACCCTGAGTGTGGAGGCTATTTACCAAGACAGGGACCAGTTTGCTCAGTTGGTGAGAGAAGTAGCTTCTCCTGATGTGGGGAAGATGGGCATAGAGATTCTTAGCTTTACAATCAAAGATGTATTTGATAATGTGGAATACCTTGCTTCTCTGGGAAGAGCTCAGACAGCCAATGTAAAGAGAGATGCAGATATTGGTGTAGCTGAAGCAAACAGAGACGCTGGAATCAGAGTGAGTTGACATTTTTTTTGTATCTGTATGGATTTGATCCATCCAAGTTGCTTGAATAATATGCACTTAGTTATTGTCATAATGATAATCTCATTATCATTACTTTCCTAGGAAGCTGAATGTGAAAAAGCACGTATGGATGTTAGATATGAAGCAGACACAAAGATCGCAGACTCATCCAGGGCATTTCAGATGCAGAAAGCTAGTTTTGATATTGAAGTCAATGCCAGGGTAAGGTGGCTCCTGTAGTAACCATGTGTGTTGACACACTGCTGTCCTTTGTACAATCACCTACTTCTATGGTACAATGTTTTTATCTTGACTTTGTATGCGTACTTCACGAAGGCTGATTTTTAAATTGAATGTCTAAAAAACAAACATTTTTAGTAGATAATAATTGTTTGATAATTATCATAAATTTCAGAAAGCTGAGGCAGAATTGGCATATGAACTGCAGGGTGCCAAGGAAAGGCAGAGAATAAGAGCTGAAGAAATAGAGATTGAAGTTGTTGAGAGGAAAAAATTAATTGAGATTGAAGAAAAAGAAATTTTGCGTAAGGAAAATGATTTGGTTGCCACCATTAAGCGACCAGCTGAGGCTGAGGCATACAAGACGGAGGTGCTGGCAGAGGGCAAAAGGTGAAGAATTTAATTGAAACAAGGCTGGGTCGGGGTGTAAACTGGATATGTTGATTAACATATAATTGTAAAATGAGAAATAGAACATTCAAATCACATGAAAACTTGCTTTTCTGAGACAAAATTACAAGATAAACAACATGAATTAAACCTTAGTTTGCATTATCACTTTTCAAAATAGGACCCAGACTGTTGATGTGGCCAAGGCCGAGGCTGAAAAGATCAGGCTTGTGGGTGGAGCTGAGGCTGCTGCTATTGAGGCTGTCGGCAAGGCTGAGGCTGAGAGAATGAGGCTCAAGGCTGCTGCATACAAGCAATATGGAGATGCTGCCATGCTTAGCTTGGTCCTTGAAACATTGCCCAAGGTATATTTCATGGTTTTGAGTTATAAAAAGAACCTGGCTTAGATGAGCTATAGGCACTGCATGTAAATTAAATGCAAATATTGTGGTTTGTAAATTGTTGCTCAAAAATTTGGAAGATGTCTGTGATAAATTATGGTCAATATCTTTTTTTTTTATTCACTTATGAAGACATTAATTCCATTAATTCTTTTACAATTGCTAGAAGTTGCACAAACAATTATTTTTTCTCTTCCAGATTGCTGCTGAAGTGTCCGCTCCTCTAAGCAAGACTGAAGAAATTGTCATGATTGGTGATGATCGCACTACTGGGGAAATCAGCCGGCTGGTCAGTTCTTTACCCCCTGCAGTTTCTGCATTGACTGGAGTTGACCTATCAAAGGTAATAAGATTGTAATTATATTGATATATAGAATTATTCTGTCACCTTTTATGCCTGCATGGCATTTCTGATGATTTATGATAATGTTAACACTGATGTAGTTGATCTACGGCTTTAGGAGAAATATGAAATCTTTGAAAATAAATACATGTTCTTGGTTTTTCCACTGTGCATAGTTTCCATCTGTTTGGACTTGGACTAAGCATAACTCCTGTTATCTTTTTATTTCAGGTTCTGAGGCAAGTCCCAGGTGCACAGTAAATACTTCATTTCCCTAAATTCTATGGAGAGCGTAACACACAACTGGCAGTGCAAGAAATTTGCAAGACATGACTGTTTTTCCACAAATTAGAAACTAGAATCCGTCACTGGAATCCCGTTTCACTTACCTCATTGTGTGATTAGACATTTTTGTGTTAAACCAGATATTAATATATATATAGGAGCTTCTGTTTCTGATTTTTTGGTGAACTTACATGGTAAAAGCTCATTGGTATTTGTTTTCATACAAACTCGAACTTGTATTTGATAAGAATTGCAGCTCTACTTAGAAATGAAAATCAAGAAAGTTTTTCAGATGACCTACATTAACTCAGCTCTTTATACTGAGAGCATAATTTGGTTTTTATGAAACAGAAAAAGGCTACTAGACATTCATAATCCAGCATGTTTCATTTCACAAAGTGTAGAGATGATGAGATATTGCAATGAAGCATGTAAAAATGTTTATAGAATAATTGCCCTATATTCTAGCTGTAGTGCTGATGAAGAAAAAAATTGTTTTGATAAAATTGGCATACATGTATTATAATGTTTGAAGAGCCAGTTTTGGGAGCACTATAACTAGAATTAAGAGGCAGAATCTGCAGTGCATTCTTGTTTAGGTGTGTTCTGTATTGTAAATATTTATTTCACTATGTAATTACTTGACACTAGTAAATTTTAGTATCCTGGAGTTAATAATCAAAGGAACTGGTGTGCAGCAAGTGTTGTTTATATCAGTAATAAGATTTACTACATAGTAGCAGTGAAGGAGGTGCCAAACTGTCACTGTCTTGATATAAGAGTTATGTTAACTATGCTAAAATCATGGCAGGATTTTAGAATGCAAATAGCATTTAAATGTCAGGCATTATTTTCACGAAGAAATTGCTTTACAAAGTGTAATAGCAGTTCTTGATAAACCAGAGGGTATTTTTCAAACAAAGCAAATTAACTACACAGCCCGTCTTTATTCAGCAATTGTGCAAAAATAGACTTATATATATATACTCAAATAGGACTATCTAGATCAATATCACTATGTTCAATGGCAGCATTTGCTTGTTTAAGGAAAAGAATGGGGCCTTATCATTCAAACTGTTAACTTTAGGTTTTTATTTTTGAAACATTGGAACCCCTCTCCACCCCTCCCCATTTGTTTATTATCTTTTGTTCTTTATTGTTAAGTTATATTTTATTACATTAGTAATGTAATACATTGGGCTTTTTATTTGTCTACAGTGTATTTTATACCATAGTAGTTAATTGCATTTTTTTCATTCATGTTTGTTTGGCACTTTGCCATTTCCAAGTAAAATACCAAAGCCAGAGTATCTTTTTTAAGTAAATGATTGTGTGGGCCCACTTTTGTCATGTAATTCCTTTATGTAAGTAGATCAATGTTCAAATGTATTCCCCTCCTTCCTCACAAACTTCTGACCTCTAAGCACATTAAATTACCCAGTGGCAATCGTTTTCTGGAAAGTTATAACTGAGACCATTAATGATAACTTTAATCCACTTTATATTCTCATTGTAATCACTTTTGCTCCTCAGCAGTTAAGTATTCTACTAATATCCTAAAAAGAGAAAACTGAATTAACAGTTCTCGTTGTAAAGCATGCAAGTTTTTAAACAAATTTCTTATTTTTTCAGTGAATTTGTATTTTAGAAATTGTTGTTAGTTTGTAATTGTATTACATGTAATTTCCATAGAAATAAACGTACCCAAGATAAAAAGATAACTTATTTATTTCTTAAACATTACTGTAAAACATAAGGTAGTTCTTTTTTATAACTGGGCTGAATCAGTTCTGCAGAAAACTACAAATGACTGAAAATCTGGCAGTTGACATGAAGTCTATTTTTCCTAAGTCATACATCAGAACCAAGATGTACCCAATTATTTATATGTCAAGGTGTACACTGGTTCTTTTTGTTCTTTACATACATATTTCCTCCTTCACTCAGCATTCTCATATATTTATATACAAAATAGCAAAATTTGTTTAAGTGGGCTATGCTATCTGAGGATGTAGGGAAGTCCTCCCCATTCCTGTCAGGTCCTCCTCTCCTATGCTAGCTGTATCCACTGACATCAGACCAGGCACTCTCAACATCACTGCCATCAAGGTCCATCTGAGGAGAAGATAATGTATGAAAGTTATTTCCAAAAATATTCAAGTAAATTAAAAAAATAAAAGAATAGTTGATAATAAACTCAACAAATTATACATTTTAGCAAAACTAAATTGTGCAATAGCAGACAGCTGATCATTTCATTCAAAGAAATATTTAATTTCTGTTTTTATTGTAAATCTCATAGGTCTGAATATTATGAAAAGGTAACAAGTTGCTTTTACATCATTGTCTGTCCCATCCATGTCCTCTACTTCCAGGTCATATGCACTCTCCAGTCCCACTTCTGTGTTCTTTTCCACACGCTCCATTCCTTCACGGGCTTGCTTGTTGCCAGGGTCAAGACTGAAAAGCGGGAAAGGTCTTTTATCTTATAAGCATGCTACGTACACCAATGCCACGTACATAAAGCTGCTATACAATTCCCAGTAAGCTTTTTTAGTTCTGGTAAAATTTGATCTACGTTTTTGATAGTGATTTTAAGGATTTTGATCAGGCACCTATTTACTTGCTAAGATGGTGGGGAAATTTTGAAAGTATGAAAAAAACAATGCTTAAATCACAATTAATAGGGGATTTTTGTATCAGGATCTTAGCAGACTGGTAATATAAAAGGTTACCTGAGGGCAATGCTGTATTGGTCTAATGCTTCCTGTTTTTCATTTGTCTGAGACAAGAAGTCGCCCAACAGCTGGTGCAGACGACAGGTACTTTGATGCTGAAGCTGGTTCCGTAACCTGGAAATAGTTGCAAGCAATTAATGGATTTTTTTTGTATGAAATTGCATATTTTAAAACTGAAAGAAAAATGTTTTATTTAATATCACTGCAACACTTATATTTTCTATATCTAATGTCTTAGTCTTGGTTCTAGAGTTTGGTAAGCAGCAGGCAACCTACATGTCTATGCCTTTCTCCCACTGCTGCTGGCGTGTATAAATATCAGCCATTACATACACAGCATCTAGGTGGAGTGAATCAAACTTCAAGGCAAGCTCCAACACTGACTTGGCCTAAGAAAATAAAGAAAATATGTGATTTGCTTCACAATCTAGAAGTAACTGTGACTTTAGGAAATGCCATGAACAAAAATCAATGCATTTACCTGGGCATGCTAGACTCACATTACTTGGAGAAATAGCTTACTGATTAATGTGTACATTAAGTAAAACTGCTCAAATTTGCAACTTGGTCCATAGTGGTTTTCAGCAGACTGCAGGTTTTCATTTATCATATCAATGTCTTATAAGTAAAACATTACCTTTTCTAAAGTTAACTGGTCTTTGGCCAAAACACTTCCATACAACTGAAATTTAAAAATACAAAAATAAATCAGTACAACTTTCACCATAATATATGGAGAATCATTTACCCAATGAAATCATTTCAATTCTGAGATTACAGTATCTATTTGTGTGAGAGCTGTTAAAGCATACAGTCTTTGTTTCCAAAGCATTCAAAAGTAAAATATATCCTGGAGGGTACTTACTGTCAGTGACCTGGCATTTTGGCCCAGCTGTTTAATTGAGCTGCTCCCCATCTGAATGGCTTCTCTCATTCTGTGACTTGCTATGTAACAGTCTATGATACCTGAATAATTGACACGTATTATGAGGAAAGGTGTCCAACAAAATTTTGTACTTTGATGAATATTTACTTGTGTAGTGTACCAATGAAAACTTATAGTTGTAACTTTTCTCTTTTTACACAAAAGTCTGAGCTTCCTCATCAGCAGAGGACTTCTTGTTTTGATGCTATTGAATTAGCATGTGTAAAATTAATTTTCATTAAAATTATCAACTGTTCTTACGTTATGTTTAAGTGTGTCACTGTCCACATGTATTTCATCATACAGATAACTAACCATACCTTTATAAGGTTCATATCTTCCTGGGGCTAGTCGAAGTGCCTCTCTGTAGTGCATGATAGCATCCTGGTTTTTCTTCAGTTCCAGCAGCCCCTGTCCCTTCAGCAGCAGAGCCTCCAGACAGCGGTTGTCTAAGGTGTATGCTTTCTGAGCAAAGTACACAGCTCTAGTTCTCTTCTCTGTCAGCAGGCAGAAGTACCCTATGGCCACCCATGGCTGGGGTGCCTGCTCTGAGACTGACATTAACTGGTTGCCAAGGCTGGAAGTAAATTAAACAAAGTCATGTGTTAGTCAAGTATTTAGTTATACTTTAAAACAATGAAAAGATAACATGCAAGGCAATCAATTTAGTTAAAAAACATGAGAATTAAATACAGAGCAAAGGCACAATTATGATCCAAATCTTATTACAGGTACGTCAAAATGTCTACCTTTCTAATTCCTTTGTTTTCTTTTCCCTGGCATAAAGATAAGCCAATGTATCCATGTTTTTCAACATGAGAGGTTCTGCAGTGTGTGCCTGAGATAATGTTAAATAAAGAAGAAATCAGACGAAAAAAATGATTCAAATTGACAATAGTAAAATTATGTCTATCATGAACAGTAGCTGCTTTCTAGGCCAAGACATTTTCAAAACACTGGAATGATTAGTATTATTGACTGGGAGTAACTGGGGTATTTAAAAACATCCCCTTAGATGAAGATTCAAATTTGAAATATGCTCCTTTCCTCTTCCCATGGTAACTTTAGCTTCTGCCTAATGGAGTGTGCACTTAATGACAACTTGACACAGTCTTTGAAGAGAGTATTTGGAGTCAGGTAGCTGAAAATTACATTTTACATGTCACCTTCACAGCTCATATGAATATAATCACAAACCCTTTCTAATGCCAGTTGTGCCTGTGCATAATCTCCATTCAGAAAATGAGCCTCTCCCAGACTGCACAACAACTCTGTACTGTTTCTTAGAACCTGAAAAATAATGGTTAAATTAATAATCAATACAAAATTAGCACTTATTACCAAATAAAAATGTATGGGTTTTATGCCAACTTGGTCAAGCTATTTTCCTACACCATAGATGTCTTTGACTCATTGTGGAAAGGGAATAAAGTGGGTCTTTTGTAGAACTAGGCAGAAAACAGATTGATTCACGTCATCAGATGCCAAACATTTACCAGTACTATGAGATGACTCTGTGTTTTAGAGAATAAGGCAAATCAAATTCAGACAAGGTATACTGCTAACTGGTAACAATTGGCTAATATTACCCATGGCTTTATATCATTTTAAAAGGAATTCCTGCCATATTCATCATATTATTACCTTGGCATCCAACCCCTTGAAAGTGGACACAGCATGGGAATACTCCTTGTTGGCTATGAAGGCGTGGCCTTTAATCCAGTGTGACAACCTAAAGAAAACACACAGTAGTTATCTCCCACTTCAATTATCTACAAAGGTATCATCAGAAAACACGAAAAAAATGCTTATCTGCGAGACCCAATGAGACACCAACAGTTAGTCAATAGCTTTCAATGTTGAATCTCTTCACATAGTGATGGTAAGTAACATGCTCTATTGACAATTGTCACATTTACACAGCAGGTACATAGCCAGCAATTTCAAAAGGGGGGGGGTCTTTTTCTGAAAAAGTGGACCTTTTAACATGAAACCTTCTTGTATCTAGATAAAACTGTACCCAGAGGGGACCTTTTCCTGGCAAAAAGGGGGGGTTCTTTCAAACCCCCCAAACCCACCCTGCCTACGGGCCTGCACAGAGGCCTAGAGTATGTGACACTTACCATTCACATCCTCCATGAACTCCATGTAAAACAAGAGAGGCCACTTCAGCCCCTCTTACCCCCAGTGACAGGAGCCCCAACACAGCTTCCAGTGCAAGGGGACACTCTCTGAAATAAAAATATGAAGATAAATGTTTCTTATCAAAAAATAATTATTATGATGTTTTTTTATCATCAACTAACTTTGATTAACTCCAATCTCAGAGGGAAAAATGCACCTTGCCATGAGAACTATTACACAAGGTGGTGTCACATTCTATCTTTCTAGAGCCTGTCTTCATAGATTCATACATCATCTACCAAAAACCTTACCTTAAAACCTCTTTAAAGCATGTGACAGCCGACCTGTCCATCCCTGTCTTCTGATAAAGCTTAGCTAGTGCCATGTTCACTTTGGATGTCCTCTGCTTGCTGTTGATTCCTTCAAGCTGTAATGAGACAAATACAAAATACACATACTGGTTAGACTTCTGTTTGGATGATAAATTATTATTCCTTCAGATATACTAGATAATAGATGTGATATAATATAACATAACTGAACTTTCCTGATGTTTCATGATGTCACAATATTTAAAAAAATCAATTATAATTTATCATACAAAGAGTGTACTAAAACTAATAATACAGAGTTGGTTTTAGTTAATTATATTATTACTGTTATTTAAATGGCTTCTTCTAAATGCTTCCAGAAACAACAGTATTTTGCCACTGACCACAGCTACTGCTTCCCTGTGCTGCTTCAAATGACACAGACATTCATGAATCTTGAAGCGCACATCAACCTCTGAGGTGGATTCCTAAAAATCAGGAAGTTCAGTGTACTCAGTATAAGGGAAATATGTATGGAGCTTTATCAGAAAACGACAATATTATAGTGTATGGAGTTTTAGACCTCAAATTGTGTCTTTTCCTAAATCAGGCACAGGGGCTTTTTTGTATGAAAATGCAGCATGTTGTAAGACTGCTTACCATCATGACACTCAAATATATCATTGATTTTAATGTCATCAGAAATATAAATTTATAAATAAATCAGGATCTTGCAAAGAGGGTTGCAGTGGAATAAAAAACTGACAAACGAGGACAAAGTATCAAAAGCACAATAAAACCACCACACGATTATATTTCAACCTTTTTATTCCCTTTGCGGCATTCCCAATTAACTTTTTAAAAGGTAAAAAAGCAATTGTGACAAGAAATATTACTTACTACATTTGAAACAGCTTTGCTTTTCCCCTTGTTCAATGTCTTTTTAATCTGTAGGGCCTTTTTATACTGAACCTACATATATGAAATATGAAGAAGTCAGTGTGTAATATGACATGTTCTTCAACATAAAAATGGTAGGAACTAACCTAGGTTTGGTCTGAATCATCAGTCTTAAACTCATTCAAAAGGGTCTTCAGGTAATGGTAAAGGAAACTGTATTTAATACAAGATTCAAATTCATACCATATGTCATTTCTATTAAAACTTTTACTCTACAATCTTACATGTACCAACTGAATACCGGTAATCTACTGTATTACATGTATTTATAATGTATTCTGATTAACAGTCTACACGGGATAGGAAACCGAGTGAAGCTACCTCTGCCTTGCGGTACTCTCCTCCGTGGACCAAAGCATTCCCCAGAGAACACTAGCACTTGGTACTTGCTGGACGGAGTAAGGAGATCGGGCTGCTGCTCACTGTAGCTGAGTAAAAGATCACCCTGAAATAAGCAGAACAATACAGGATATTTACAAAATAATACTGCATTTTATACAAAAACAAGTTTGCTAGGATTATCCTTAACCTACCAATAAGCGGACATCTTCATGTAATCCTGCGTTATGCAGTGTTTTTATGTGATCGTAAAAATTCATCTTCATTCAAACTCCTGCGCTCTTTTGAAAGTGGAGATTGAAAAAACGTTGACTGATAGGGTGCCGAACATGTGCCCGTAACGCTTTAGAAATTATAGACAATATCGTACTATTTAATGCTTATGATAAAATGTTAGATACAGGTTCTTTGACATCAATGGCTATTGGAGCTGGAATTGGACTAATTATTGGCTGGATTACAAGATCACGGCTCTATAGAAACGTTGGGAACGTTTCAGCTTTCCGTACAGCTACAGGATCTTCTGATGGCTTCTTCAAGGTGTTTGTTATTACATACTTATTTTTGTCCCCCTTCATTTCCAGGTATTTTTTATTCATATTCCGTGCCATAAAGATTTTTTATCACCGCACCACCACATCTTTTAAATATATGATATTTTTAGAGACATCGCAGTATTTTTACTTATAACAACATCACATTCTTGATGATATATTCAGTATTATTGCACACACATCATATATATATATATATATATATATATATATATATATATATATATATAGAGAGAGAGAGAGAGAGAGAGAGAGAGAGAGAGAGAGAGAGAGAGAGAGAGTCTTAACTGAAATCATGGAAGTTGGATAAATATGTTGGTTACCATGTTAGTTGGCTTAATGTGTGTTACCATCCAAGCCTTAGCTTAATTTTAAAATTTGAGATTTGTGTGAACTGTGACCTTGATAAGTGACATGCAAGGCAGACAAGTGACATCATGTCCAAAAGATCAGCAATGGATAATTTAGAATACAGCACTGTTGCAATCGGAAATTTTACTGATTATAATTAATATATGCACAGTTTTCATTCTAATGTATTACAAGGGTCCCAAAGAAGAACACAAACTGGTATTGGTAGTTAGAAATGATCTGAAGATGAGTAAAGGAAAGATAGCAGCGCAGGTACATTATGCTAAAATTTTGCAACTGTCAATAGACCTTCTTCTATTGCTTACTCCATAAAAGAATTAAAGTAAAAAAAAAAGAGAGAGAGAGAGAGGTCCCACATTTCTTCTGGTAAACAGGTGTTTGTGAAAATGCAAGCTTATTTCAGTTTAAGTGATATACTGAACCCTTTGACGTTAATACAGTGACAGCGGAATATACCTCAATACCCTTTAATATGCTCTGTGATTTTTACTTTGTCCTTTTTGCATGAAACTTTCATATCTTGGTGCTAAACAAATGTCTCTCATTTTAGTGCTCACACGCAGCAGTGGCGTGCGTTGCCCAAATGCAGATTAGTGATCCAGAAACATTAAAGAGATGGCTTGATTTGGGACAGGCAAAAGTGGTCGTTAAAATTAATGATGAAGAAAGCATGTAAGCTTGGAAAGTGGAACTGTTAAGCATTAGAAGTGCATATTATTTAGAAAGTTTGATCTGTAGGCATGATATATTTTATAATTATGTTTTCGTAATATTTAGTTTTGACTGAGTGAAATTGGAAGGAAAAAGAACCATTTTGCAGTACCACCTATCATGTTCAATTTAAAGTAGACACCTGAAGAAGGAACTTTATTTCCATTGCAGGTTAGCTGTAGAGAAAAAAGCCAGGTCATTGGGACTGAATACCAAAATTATTAGAGATGCTGGCAGGACACAGGTAGCTCCCAGTACTAGGACAGTGCTAGGTGTGGGGCCAGGTGGGTGTGATCCCTTATGCTTTTCATAGCTTCCATGTACAAATGAATGATAAGTATGCAATATTTTATATTTTCTGTAAAACAGAATTGCATGTGCTAAAGGAGGTTGTAGTAAATTTGTAGTTATTATTAGAAAATAGGTTTAATTTTTCAATTTAGGTAACGGTTTTATATTTGTAATTTTTGTTACTGCCTCGGTTGTTTTTGTTTACTAGTAAGTTCATAGTTCATGTTTATTACTTTCAGCTCCAGTCAGTGTTCTGGATGAAGTCACTGGACATTTAAAATTGATGTGACTTACTGGTTATTTTAGATGGACAGAAAGTAATGGTTACTTGAAATATAACAGTTGTACCAAACATCTGTCACTGCCTTGCACTGTGTTGCATCATTTTTCTGTGATAGGGAAAATGGTTTATTGGTAATGGAATTGAATGTCTAGACAAGACTTGTCAAAGAAAAACAATTATAAGAGGATAAATAATGGAGAAACAGCATGTGTGTGCGTGTATACTGGTGTATGTCAATATGCATCTCCCCAGTTAAAATGTTAGTCAATCATGTTATGAAATAATAATAGTTAATTCAGTAAAATTGCAAGCCAAATGTGGAAGTTCTACATGTGCTGAGGCTCCCCTCAAGAATTATGAACAAAAACATCTTTTTACCAGATGCTTACCTATAAGAACATTATAATGGAAAAGAAAAGGTTGAATTTATTAGATGTTCTAATTTTCATAACAGGAAAGGAACTTTTCTGCATGTATTATTCCATTGATTTCAACACCCACAAATACTTGAAATGCTTCGATTTCCCCCCTCTGAAAATTTTGTTAGTTTGATGTTGCGAGGTAAAAACTGTTGAGTATGGAATTGTCCCTAATAATTTAATGTATTTATAGAATGGACATACTATCATTTATGGTCATTTTTATTCTTCCCAAAATCAAATTTCTAGTTTCTTGACATTAACATCATTGGAATTATTCAGATCATTATGTCCATGTTCAGATATACGGACATTCTTTATTTGGTAGATTTATTGTCATGTGACAGGATTGCTGTAGATTTTATATAGTGCACATCATGTTCAAGGTACGAAGTGAAAAAATAAAGCATTGTTAAGTATTTCGTCATTATGACCCACATTTATATATTTCATGATGAGTAGCTTACGAAAAACGGCTGTGTTCAAATAACGCAATCATCTTGTTTATAGCCAATGCAGGGATTGCTCAGTTATTTTAAAAGTCGAACCACAAAAATGAAAGACGGAGAGAAGAGAAAACATTCATAAAATGTTTTTAGTTAAATCCGTTTCAATGTTTTTTAATCTATCCAGCAAAAATTGCTGTCCGACAGCTTTACACTTTTATAGATTAACATTTCCATTCCATTAATTAATTAATTAATTTATTTTTTATTTATTTATTTTTTTTGTCAACGGTTTTGGATAAGGTGTACCTAAACGATTAAGGGGAAATTGCTGAAATTTTTGGAAAATTAATTTTATTTATTATATGAAAGTTATAAAGCGCTTCGTATTCCTTTAGAGAGTAGACAATTGACAAAGAGTAGACAATTCATTGCATTTATCTACCAACTGCAACCTATAGTTTTCAATTTATTTCCGGTGTGCCCGATTTTTGCGACAAGTAATATGTTTACCTTAAGTATTTTGACAAATTGTGCGCCCTGTTTTTATTTAGGCAAATGTAATACTATTTCACGCAAATTTATCGCATTAAACAAAAGATAAATCAAGCGGTACATGGACTAAGATTAATGTAAACGTACCTGTACTATGAAAGGGAAAAAATGTTCCATTTGTGCAAATCATAAGGATATTCATTTTTACATCCCCTTTCTCCCTCCCGTCTCACCTATTTTCGTTTCTAGTAGGGGTTGAGGGTGCGCTTTCGCTCTAATGTACCTGCATGTTCTCAGTAAGTTTTACTAAGTGTCATTCGGTTGAAGGCATATTTTCCGAGGTTATTTATGCTTATATTCCGGTGTCAGTGTACTTAAACAGGATTTCCTCACGAGCATTTCACTGGAATCTGGTACTTAATTTATATTTTATGCTTTGATCTTGAAGAACTTAATATAATATTTTTAAACCTTTTAATAGACGCATTTGAATTGAACGTGTACAACACAAAGGACCATCACGGTCTTTGTGCAGTAACCGCACTATTTACCCGCGGGTAAAATCAACGTAAACACTCTTGATTCACTTATGATCGCGGTGTTCTAGTGCATTCTGTCTTAGACTGCGTTCCCATAAATCCATCTTACTAGCTGGATCGATCTTACGTGCTTAAGTGCTTTCATTATAATCAGCTTAATTGTCTGGCACGCCTCCTTGAGTAACTAGGGGAGTAAATGACTAGAAGGGGGGGGGTCAGGGGGTCCTAACCCCCCCTTCGGTTTCTGAAAAATAAAGTTGGATCATAGTTCTAATCCGTGGGCCTACGAAAGGGCACCGTTCGCCCTCCAAAATACCAAAAAATTTCCGGGGCCCTTGAACAGGCCCCGAACCCCACGCCAACGGGGTCATATTCGACTTCGCATCCGAGACCTGTCGTTCCGAACTCCACTTCAAATAATTCTGGAACCGCCCCTGATTACCCCCTAGCAGCTTGAGTAGGCGTGCCAGCGAGAATTCCTGCCGAGTAAGATGGAGCCAGCTAGTACAATAGGGTTATGGGAACGGTCCTTTAAATATGAAGCGGCGCGATTTATCATTTGAATAACGCAGGTAGTTAATATTTACACCTTTCACAGGTAAAATTAGGTGATGACCATATGTACCGATATTAGGAAGGTTACCGCCATCTCAACAGGTCTTCCTTACTTCACACGATGCACTTCAAGTCTGAATTGTCGGTGAACCTCGACACGGTCCGTCATTATAGTGACCTTGTAAATAATACTCTAAACATTTATAAACCACAAAATCTTACGACAATAGCTTTTTTATTATTATTACCATTCTAAGCTCTTGGTGTTGTACCAAGTGCATGGCACGCCTTCATGTGTGACAACATGCAAGCTACCGCGATGTGCACACGAGTGACGCGTGTGAACCACCGCTGTTATAAATAAGAGAGCAAATGCGTTCGTTCCGTGGTTCACACGCCAGCAGTATAGACAAGATCAAAAAGTCCAGAGGTCGTCGAACAAAGAGAAATCAGAGGTATGTTCATTTGTTTTAATTGAAAATGCTGAAATGGCTTGTCTTCTGATATCAGTCCAAAGCGATAAAAGTGTGAGTGCAAGGTTTAAATAAAAAAAATGAAAGATACAAAATTACAGGGAAGTGGGGGTAAATAAGTGGCGTGAATCACGTCATTAATACGGATCTTTATAGCATTTTTATAGCATTTTCACGCAAAACTCATTAGCATATACTAGTACATAACGAAGCCTCCGAGGATAACATCTAATTTTGATGTTCCTTTTTTTTTTTTTTGCAACTTATTATTCAAATGTTGTAAATTTGTTCAGGATATATATACAAGTGGTTTTATGTGTTTTTATTTAAATAATCGCCCCTTTCCTTTTAACGTTTTAATAAATGTAAATCAAACACTGAAATAACAAAAGAGGATTATTTTAGGCCAGTACGTTTTTGTACCCTTAAAGAAATATTTCCTTTTCTTTACCATCCCACTAGATTTTTTGAAAGTTTGGTTTGCAATGATTTTGCAATGATTATCAAAGAAATGATAATAACAATGAAAAATTGAAAGATAAAGAGACCATAAAATCAAAGTAAACAGTTAAACGGAATGATTTTGATTGATACATTGGTGTTTATGAAAAGAGATAAAACTCCCGTAGCGTAATTACATGTTAGGACCAGTGAAATTGGTGCGGTACAGAAAATGTACCGATCTACCGATGTACCCTCTACAAGGCGGCAGATATTATAGGCACATTTTCTACCAGCCACCCTGTAACTTTGGTCAAATAGAAGCAATTGATGGCATTGTACCCGCTCTGCAGGAAGCTACTTCAGGAGATTCCTCAGTTAACTTCAATCTGAAGTAACAAACTATCATAAAGGGTAATTTTTATCTGTTACAAAAGATTAAGGGGTTAAATTCAGAGCAATTAACTGTCTCGATTGTTGTCAGGGAGACTTAGCAATACATATTTAAGTGGCAATTCCTGGGTAGTTATGCAAACAATTACCAGTCATGTAATCAACCCAGAGATTTCAGTACAGGGTCACAGTTAGAAGATTGACCATATTTAGCCAGAGACATTATCTCTGAATATCTGGTGTAAAAATCAATCTGTTTGCGCTGGTAGAGGGTACTGGTCAATTAGGAAATGGCTTCGTTCGAGACACTTTATCAACAACGACATCATCTTTTTCTAAAGATCTCATTGCGAGCTTCCATGGGCGATCTCGAAACTTGATGCTTCAAGTGATTAATCCCATTTCAAACATTTCGCATATGTATTGTAAAAAACTCGCTTTGATTCAACCAAAATAATCACCAACAATGCATTTAAAGCCATAGTTAAAAGCCATCTCTCCGTAGAGTCGGATTCAGAATTATGGTATCACCCTTCTCTGTAATGACACAAATATGTTTAAATATTTCTGTCAATTTTTTCCTCAAATTTATTATTTCAGATGAGCAGCAGACTAACATTGCAGTTTGCCTTCGTCATAGTTCTAGTTTTGTCCACACTCTGCGTCCTGCCTACAAATGCTGCACCGGCACGGGACAGGCACCGCCGCCATCATGGGGAAGACGACTGGTTCAGCTCGTTTCGTGACATCATAAAAGCTTTTAGAAGTAAGTGTGACTACTATCAGTACAAACTTAAAGTAGAGATAGAAAAAAGTTTCCGTTCTCATGCGTAGTAAGGATTACAAGATTTTCTTATCCGCATTATATGAATAAGACTGGGATTCCCACAGATTTAGATCGATTCATCTGGATCGACCTAACTCCCTGGGGGTTCACGCTAAATTGCTGTCAGCTTCCGGGAGCCGAGCGTGCACAAAAGTTAATTACCCCCTTACAGCTTTTAGTAGGCGGGACAGACATTTAAGCCGGTTAAGCTGACAGCAATCTAGTAAGACTCCCCAGGGGGATAGATCGATCTAAATATCTGTGGGAATGGTCTCTAAAATTGGGATGACAAACCAGTGGACAAACACATGGGAACAATGTCAAAACTACGTGTGATTCTGCCAAAAATAGTAATATTAAACTTTCAGAAAAATAAAGGGGGTTAAACCGAGCAAACTGGAGGTAAAGAGGCTTTTTTTAAAAAAGTAGTAAATACGATTTTGTTGGTTACAGAACTTCCTCTGTTTTTCTTTAAAAACTTCAGAAATTAACTTATTAGATCTACAAACTGTAACTTATGCCTTACAGTTATTGAACAAACGTTACCTTTATTAATAAAGAACCAAGATAATTATTATTGATAAAGAACCAAGAACATTATTATTAATTAATTTAACTGGTGTATTTTGATGTGATTTTTTTTTTATGTTGTATATAAACGTTTGCGCTGATGTTTACCTGGTCAGAATCTTTGATGGCAAATTATTACCCTTTTCGCATTCTTTTTCTTTATTTCAGACTCAGATACACGACAGAACCCAAACATACGGGAGTTCATCGTGATGGACATCCGGTAACAGCATCTTGGCGCAAGAGGGAGCCAGGAGTCTCTCTTCCACTGCCTCCACAGCAATTAAGGGGTCAAGGATATTAAAAATACGTCTTAAACTCGATTTTTAGTTTTTTATACGTTGGAAATAATCAATATTGTATCTAATACTCAATTAAGTTATATTTTTGCAACACGGACCAAAAATATACATTTGGACGAGTTTTTCTACCTGTCCGTGGCAGCCTTAGGCTCGGCCTCCGTTGTCAAGCACCGTTACTATGGGGGGCGGGGCAAGAATGGTTGTCTAACTTGTCTTAAGCTGTTACGCGTGCACTGGCAGCTCATAAGTCTTACGTCAGCTAAACTGAGATTATACTGTTTCCATTTTTTTTAAAATTGTTAACAATATATTAAAATGTTTCCCTTAGCGTCTCAATCACGTCACGTCAAGATCACACTTGAGCTGCTGAGAATTCGTACAACGTCTGGGGTTGTCAGAAAAAAATCGTTAGGCAATCATTTTATTTACAATAAAGATCGTAACAGCAAGCAAGTTTATAAATAATATTGCCACCCAAAACATTTTCAAACTCGCCTATTATACGGTCTCGGCACTCTGTGGCATCGTGGCTGATACGTACCCACATTCGGCCGTTTCTCGGAGTAATTCTTTCTTTGCTTTCTCCATTTTCGCGTCTTGGTGTGTAGAGCGGCGTCCACGCACGACGGGTGGCGTTGTCCTCTGCTTGCACCTCAAGTAATTTTCTTTTTGTTTGTTAGCGCTTCCTTAGACACTTCCTAGACAGTGCACAGACTCCTACTGCGTCAGGCACAATTATGATTAATTACGTCAGTGAAACGAGAGTAGGAAGGCCTACTCAGCTGTCAATCATTTCTCAGGGAAGAGCGGCTTTCGTGGTGCGAATAAGTTTGCGTACAAAAGTAAGATTTTCTGGCATCTAGATAGAAACAAACAACCCAATTTTAACACGTAATGGTGTATAGACCTTCCCGATCAATAAGATGATAACAGGTAAGGTGGAGGTGCAATTAGTTTGCTAAATTAGCCCAATTACCTGAGCCAAATGGTTTATGAGCGATTTCTCAGCTTTGAAGATTGATAACATAGTCTAAACTTCAATCCCCATATCTCATTCTTTTCCTGTCAGATTGACATGAAATTTGATGTGTCTGTGTTTCAGTATAATATCTAGTCGACTGCGTCTTGGGTTCTTGATTGACTTTTTATTTTTGAAGTTATTAATACTGAAAGTGGATGGTCCATATATATTTCGTAAAATTCACGTTTTATCAAAATAAAATCAAACGTAAAAATGATAAGAGAAAATCCTGACAGAGTTTACTGGTTTTTGTGCTAACCTTTAGATAGCTATTTCAATCGTATTTACAGGGCTTTTTGTTTAAGAGAAAATCTTGATTAAAAAAATGACAATTTTAGCCCCAAAACGCTGATATTACGTCACTCGTGTTACACTGTGACTACAAACTTTGGAAAATTGTTTTGCTAGCTAAACCATATCCTTTAGTTAATAGGAAATTTAATTAGCTGCATTAGTTTTGGACTTTTTCGTTAATATCCTAGACCCCTTAAAAAAGGGAAAGTTGGAACTCCCTGTGATAGATTCCGCAACTAACTTGACTTGGGCATTTGTGACCCTCTTCAGCAATGAAACTAGAACAAGTCCGTCCACAGGCACCGCTTGAGAACACATTCGTCAAGATGGTGAATTGTACTGGTGAACCTCAACTTTTCAAAACTTTTTCAGTTATGATAATATGTAGTAAAGCCCTGTAACCGTTTTGTATACGGTCGCACCTGAACTAAATCCATTCAGGCAGACTGTGATGCAGTTTTTTATATGCAGTTATAATGAAATTGACGATATTAGCACTTGAGAGTGAAAAGAAGACAATTTTTAAAGGTGACAAAATGAGGATGCATTACTTAGACCCCATTTCCAGAGATTAGATTGATCTACTTTAGATCGACCTAACTCCCTGGGGGTTCACGCTTAATAGCTGTCAGCCGAGCGGACACGAAAGTTAATTACCCCCTTACAGCTTGTAGTAGGCGGGACGGACATTTAAGCCGGATTATCTGACAGTAATCTAGTGAGACTCCCCGCGGGGATAGATCGATCTAAAAGCTCTGGGAATACAGCCTAAGTGACTTGCACTCACATATACCCGGGGTATGTTATGATTATCAAAGCACGATGTATATATTTAGCAGGTTTTACTTAGATATAATACATTAAATAAAACTTTGATACGTTTTGATCTCTCTCTTGATGTCTCACTTCTTCACCTTCCTCTTCTTGTGCACCTTTATGAAAATGCGCTTTTGAATCAGGGTTGCGAATTAAAATCCGTACAACCTTATGTCATTACGTTAATGCCCCCCCCCCCAAAAAAAATGTTAGTAAGTTAATAAAATGATAAGTTATACATAACAGAAATCTACACTTAAGTTTGATTGCATGATTTACAACACTGCGTGACTGGCGTCCGCTTAAAGTGCAGTAGTGTATACTATAGTTGATCAGTTGGAAGTACATGTAGAATGCGGATAAGCACCTCGTTGACCGTTTAACAAGTTTCTGTGTCACACCTGCTTACGTTCTCTAGCCAGTTCCGTAAAACAATCTGTTCTGAAATATATACGACTTTACTGACTGATCTATAAAACATTTCTTTTGGCATACGGTAATTTTCAATCGCCACTTGGCCCATTACAACCCAAGCTTTTCCAACAAAAGTCAAATTATGAATTCATACGTTAAGGGCTTGCCATCATCAATGGAGAACAGGGAAACCACTTCCCACTAGCTTCCTTTTGGAACTCCTACTAGTATTTTATTTGGGCTTTCATTTTTTTTTTTTTTTTTTTTGCACTTGTACCAATTTCATAATAAATGAACCAATTTCACATTTTACACCCTCAAATAACAAGGGGATCCCCCGTATCACCGAGAAATGAAAATGTTTACGCAAAAGTGATTTCCCGAAATGGAAAACAAATCAATTATTGTATTACTTCCCGATTTAATTCTGTTGTCAATCTTATATTTTACAAATGGAAGGCAGAAAAATAAATTCTGATGGTCAAATTCTTTTTAAGAATTCTCGTACTAGATTAATTACGTAGAAATTATTATGATTTTACTTTTTAAAGTAGTTAAAACTAATTTACCATGAAGCCAAAATGGCAATCCGAAATGACTGATAAAGGTACTGATCCGTGGCAAAATATAATTGCAATCACTTACGTATAAAGATTTTTTGCGGGGTGACAGAAAAAACCCAAGTGTAAAATAAACACTGATATTTTTCTTGAAAGCTAACGACAGTTTTTATTGAAAAACACATTTTGAGTTCCGAAAGATGTGCCATAACTCCAGAGCTTTATGTTAGACGTTACGTAAGTACGTAGGTGATATGGTACTTAGGAGAGGGTACGGTACTGAAAAATGACATAATCGGGAAGAGTATCCGAAGCGCAATTATAATATGATTTATTGTGATATTTTGACTAAAATTCGACAATTCTACCTTAAACCAAAAATAAGCTACAGGCACAAGAAACTGAAACAACACCACCTCTCATTATAAATTTGGCCAAACTTACTGAATAAATGTTACAAGTACATAAGTGTGAGAACTCCACAATATGACAGTACGTGAGTTTACATCTTAACCACTGTATTTAGACACGCACTGCAAGATAAGTATGCGACAAATAAGACCGTAAAGTTAAAATTGGGATATGCAGCATGCATAAAAGGCTGTTTCAAAATAAAACCCGACAGGTCCGCGTGAGACACGAAGATGGCGTGGACTGACAAGATTGTCCTCTTCCTGCTGAGCCTATGGGCAGGTAAGTCAATCCCCGGGGAGTTGATTATTTCAGTAGACAGACGAGTACATGTGTATTATTCAATAATATTTTTGTACTAAGTCTTCTCATTCCTTTATGAAAAAATCGCGTATATTAAGCCATAAAACCGTGAAAAGGGCATTTGTTTGTTTCATTGTTATTACGATTAATTTTACACAGGCAATAAATATTTTCTTGAAAGCGTAACAAATTTGTAACTTGTCCGCACGCCAGACGTATGTCGGTAATATAAGTGCATAACGCAAATAACTCCTTGTCTAATTTTTCTTTTTCGTTCAGGAGATGACTTCGGAAAAACTTCTGCCTCCATTAACTTTTTTATTTCTTTCTTTTTTTTGATCGTGCAGCCTCCTTTAATCGACTGTATGAATGGCATCAATATTTAAAATGAAAACTGTTTCATGCTCTAAAAATATCTGTTGTTTAGATTTTGAAAATCAAAGATAATATTTCTGTTTGATTCTCACTTTGATGTCCAGGAATCAGTTTCGCTTTCCACGACCCGAACTGTGCCCCAGGCCGCCATGTTATTGTGCATCTGTTTGAATGGAAGTGGTCGGACATAGCGGCAGAGTGTGAAAGGTTTCTGGGCCCGAAGGGATTCTGTGGCGTACAGGTATGGACCAGTGGTATCAATGAAAATAGTACATCATTCAATTTTTCTTATGTTTTCTTATGCTGTGCGCGCCATGAAAAAACAAAACAATGCCCTAAAAGAAAAAGACAATCCGAAAATCTGCAAATCTTTCTAGCTTCAATAACCATGCTAGTATATCGTACCTTGGAGCTTAAGTGTATCACTTTCATCCTGCTGGTTAAGTCTTTAGAAACTTAGATATATACATGCGTGACATAACATGGCACAACCAGTGTGTAGTTACTTTGAAAAGATATTCTGCATAATCGTCACATAAAGTCGCGCATGTATTCACGACACGTTCCCCTTAAAAAGTGTGCGCGTCTATTTTGTGCGCCTGCTCCAAAGTAATATATATCCAACTTCGCACCAGAATGATTCCTTTAATTCTTTCCTCAGCTATCACCTCCCAGTGAGCACATCGTGTCCACCAACCCGAGTCATCCGTGGTGGCAGCGGTATCAGCCGGTTAGCTACCAGCTCAACAGCCGCAGCGGAAATCGGGCAGCATTCGCCGACATGGTTTCAAGATGTAATAATGTCGGCGTTAGGTAAGTGGGTTTGTTAAAGGACTTGTTTTCATCAAGAGATATAATAGACTGCATGCAATTAGTGACTTTCCAACTGTATGCTCGACAATCGAATGCCTTGTTATTAGTTTGCTCGATTTTGCATCTTCAGCACGTTCTTTAAGTTAGAAGGAATACATTCAAGTATTTTGGCTATAACAATCTTTACGTTTACAATAAACCCATTGCTTTCATTTTCTTCAGAGTCTACGCAGACATCGTTGTAAATCACATGGCAGCAGCAGGAATTGGAACTGGTTATGGTGGTTCAAACTACGACTCTGGTTCACTCAGCTACCCAGGGGTTCCGTTTGGCCCGAATGACTTCAACGGACCGGCAGAATGTTCCACTAGCAGCGGGAACATAGAAAACTACGGAGACGCAAACCAAGTCCGCAACTGTCGGCTGCTTGGTATGCCTGACTTGGCGCTCGGTAAAGATTATGTCCGTGGTAAAGTTGCTGATTATCTTAATGACTTGATTGGTCTCGGCGTGGCGGGATTTCGTATTGATGCAGCCAAGCACATGTGGCCAGGAGATCTTGCTGGCATTTTGGGTCGGCTGAACAATCTTAATACGCAGTGGTTTTCGTCAGGGAAGCAGCCGTTTGTTTTTCACGAAGTTATAGATCTTGGTGGGGAACCAATCAAAGGCTCTGAATATAAATCGATGGGGCGAGTGACAGAGTTCAAATATGGCAAGTTTTTGGGAAAGGCTTTTAGGGGTCGCGATCAACTCAAATGGCTGGAAACGTTTGGTCAATCTTGGGGCATGCTCCACCCTTTTGATGCTCTCGTATTTATCGATAACCATGACAACCAGCGGGGAGAAGGGGGCGGAGGAATGGATACAATCGTGACTTTCTTCGAGTCCCGACCTTACAAAATGGCCAGTGCGTTTATGCTGGCGCATCCATACGGACTTCCCAGGGTGATGAGCAGTTACCACTGGGACCGCCACATTGTAGGTGGTGAAGACCACAATTACTGGATTGGTCCTCCACACAATGAGGACTGGTCAACTAAAGATGTCATCATGAACGCTGATGGTACCTGTGGGAATGGATGGGTCTGCGAACACCGCTGGCGCCAAATTGCCAACATGGTCGCTTTTCGCAACGCATGTGACGGGGAGGAGATCTCCAACTGGTGGGACAACGGTAACAACCAGATTGCGTTCTCGCGTGGAAACAAAGGATTTATCGCAATTAATAATGACGGCAATGGTTTGGATGCGACCCTTCAAACTGGTCTTCCAGCTGGCTTGTACTGTGATGTTATTTCTGGGGATTTTGTGAATGGTGGCTGTTCGGGCCACACCATCTCTGTTGACGGAAGTGGCAGAGCACACATCAGTATTAGTAATTCCGCTGAGGATCCTTTTATTGCAATTCACGTTGGTAAGTTTTCAGACAGGAACCGAAAAGTAAAAAGTATGTTTTGCCTAACGGTTTTAACTATTTTAAATTCTTGTTTTGTTTTTTATATGGAAAACTAATACGAATCTAAACATTGCGTACAACAAAAGGTGCCAAAATTGGCGAAGATGGTGGAGACGAGGGCGGCAGAGAAACGCAACCCCCGGCACCCGCACCCACCCCGGGAGAAGGATGGGCAAGAACGGTAGTGTTTATCAAAAAACAAACCCAATACGGACAAGATTTGTTTGTAAGAGGAGGCATCAGTCATGCTCACCGAACAGGTAAGAATCAGTGCTTTGGTTTTTGTACACATTATCACGTGTTAGAGGCCAACACAAATAACCAGCATGTATGGTAGTGTACATTTTCATTAACTATTTCTGCACAAATCCCAGAATCTTCATAATGGTTTCGGTATAATATATATATACTGCAAATCGTCATTGCCTTTTACCACTTGTGGCAAGACAGGCAAACAAAAATTCGTAGTGAAAGAGGTGAAACCATGCATAAATCGTTTCTTCCAGGTTGTTCTCAGGATGCGGCAACCAGTGCTTGTGCCATCCCAATCGTGTACAATGATCTAGGAGACACTGACCATCTCGAGAAGTTTAACGCTTGGCGGGGAGGTGATAGCCGCCTGGACTGGTACGGTCCCGAGCAGGGCCAGGGTACCTTCGGTAGTAAGACGGCCAGTGGATCGCCAACTGTCTGGACAACGAACGTTCAGGGAGAGGATGGATATTTCCCTGATAATAGGTAACAGTAATGGTATACTTAATCTAAGATAACGGGTAATCACAGTGGGATTGTTTGCAGTTAGATTGGTACATTGGGACTTATGGAAGGAAATAAAACTCCCGTAGCGCAATTGCGTGTTAGGACCAGTAAAAATTGGTGCGGTACAAAAAACTGCTCAGTCTGAAAAGGGCTGTATTTTGTGATATTCTAACAGTAATGGATATTGGGTAATCACAGTGGTATTGTTTGCTGTAGGAGGTAACTCAGACAAATAATCTTTCCTATTATCCGGTTTCTGCACTTGTAGGTTTGGCGAGCACTATTGGATGCTTGACATAAATATGGATTGCTCTAAGACAGAGGGAGGTTGGTTCGACATAAAGAGTTACCTCTCTGATGGTAGCGGCGGTTTCTGGGAAGCTGATATCAATCAAGTGACATCATGTGGCGGATCAGCAGGAGGACAGGCCCCTTATAGCTCTAAGAACCACGTGGCACGATGCGGTTATATCAACGTGTTTGAATTTGGCAGTGGAAGCTGCATCATCGATAACTAAAGAAATATAATTAAAATTTTGCCCTTAAATCCTTTGCATAATTACAAAAATTTAGTCAGTTACCTTTATCTCGTTGCTTATTGAACTTTTTCAATACAGACAGAGACAAATGTGTAACTGTACCTCATTTCGGTGTCGTCAGTAAAATCAATAGGATCAAATAAAATGCTAATTTCTTGCAATTCAAATCTAAATTTTTCAGCTGATCAGGTTTACAGATATTACTTGATAAACATTCCGTTAACAGGGTTGTTTGGAAACGATTTTAGTGGCTGTTATAATAAAAAAAACCATGCAGGACCTCGGAGCGTTTAACATCTATTTATCGTTTATCTTCAGTTTTCTATTTGAGGTGAGAAAGCAATCGGTATGGAACCTAACTTTTAACTGAATATGATTTTATCTCTGGGTGGCGCATGGAATACAATCCCGTGCCGTCAATTTGCTTTAAATATTTTGTCATGGAATTAAACCTCATTATTACAATTTTCATTAAAAAGAGGGATTATTTTGCCTTATTAGTGATAAAAATCGGAACCAAGGCTTTTTTATCGCTGGCATGGATTTGAATTATTCAATAGAATCACAAAAATGACGTTGAGGCATTTGCGGGTGTGTAGGCAAGGAGATATATAAAATACGATTTTGCTATTTCTCCCAAATCAAAGGTTACTTCATCGGTAAAATTGCATTTATGAAAATGCCAGGGAATTCGGACTGAATATGCTCCAAAACATAAAGGCAGATCTTAGAATGCATTCCCATAGATTTAGATCGATCCATCTAGATCGACCTAACTCCCTGGGGGTTCACGCTAAATTGATGTCAGCCGAGCGCGCACGGTAGCTAATTACCCCCTTACAGCTTTTAGCAGGCGGGACAGACGCTAAGCTAACAGTAATCTAGTGAGACTCCCCACAGGGATAGATTAATCTAAAATCTGTGGGAATGGGGTCTTAGAAGAATTGTCTAACTCTGACTGTTACATTTTTAGTGCACACAGCCCGTATTACAAAAACCGCAAAACAGCAAAGTGAAGACTAATATGGCATTCACACTGTTCAGACTATATGAAGGTGCATGAAACACCCCTGTGTTCGCTAAACTCCGGTCTGTATGGACAGCAGACATCTCACATAGAGTTTTAACATATCTTCAGGAGAAGCTACCAGCGCCATTTGACCATGCCATAGATGTCGGTTGTGGTTCAGGTCAGTTCACACAGCTTCTGGTCCCTCACTCAGTCTTAAAGTTACATATGTAGCAGGCGTAGATTCCCTGTAACGCATTTAAAAAAAATCTACTTGTTTCTTACACGACTCAATAAAGACAACAAATCAAATGAATCATTCGATCAGCCAAAATTTGTTTAAAACTGCAACTTCTTCAAATTTATGGTCGAAAACTTTTAATCTCTCCGCCAAATGACGTAGTGGTGTATGACGCATTTTTGCTGCGTGCTCAATAGCATATTTACTAAAGAAGATTGGCGGAAACGACCTTGACAGCATGAAGACGCCTGTCGCCTCTGGCACTAGTATTCTTCGGGTGGCCACTTTTTGTTAACTTATGGATATTACCAGTGCCCTCCATCCTTCTGTAAACCCTGTATACGGGCTGACCAGACACACCATATGGGGCAGGTATCTAGGGAACATGAAAACCCTCAATAAAACAATTTCTTTTCTTCCTTCATTTGTAAGCTCCCGTACCTTCACCATAGTAGAAACTTGACAGCCAGAAAGGCGTTACACTTTCTTTTGCACCTTTTATAGTTCAAATGGCTAAAATTTGTCACTTGTTAGACGAGCAATAAACTGCAAACTACTTTTTACGAACGTTTTACCCATGTCACAAAAGCGCGCTTTTCACAGAGATGGCGCAATTCTTTTTCACTCCCCTGTATTATTCAAAATACGTACGATTTTGTCCAAGTCAGTTTGTAATTTGTAACCTAAATCATTTTGTGTGCATAAACCCGTATCCCATTATAAAACAGAAAGGTGCACATGTAGACTCGTTTACTGATGTATATAAAATGGCGCAGAGCATTCTTCTGTGTATGCTAAATTCCGGTCTGTATGGACAACGGACATCACAGATTTCTACCCATGTAGAAACTTGGCAGCCAGAAGGGCGTTTCACTTTAATGGGCCCTTTATAGTGCACGTGGATAAAATTTGGCACAGGTTAGAGGTGCAATAAACCGCGAACAACTTTTTTAAGAACGGGTCCCCATGTCACACAGTTCACTACTCACAAAGAAGGTGCAATTATTTTGTCATCCCTCTGTATTATTCAGAACATGTGCATTAAAACAGTAATTTCAGGGGTTTTTCGAAGTCTGTCTGTAATTTAGTGTGCATAAAACCTATATCGCATTAGAAAACGGCAAGGTGAACAGTACGACTTGTTTGGTTATTTTAATAATATATTTTAAAATATATGAAATGGCGTTCAAACGATTCGAAGGTGCAGAGCACTCCTCTGTGTACGCAAAATACCGACCTGTATGGACAACGGGCATCACAGATAGGGTTTTAACATATCTCCAGGAGAGATATCCAGCACCATATGACCATGCCATAGATGTCGGTTGTGGCTCAGGTCAGTTTACACAGCTTCTGGCCCCTCACTTTAAACTAGTGACGGGTATAGACATCAGCGCTAATCAGATTTCAGAAGCAATCAAAGGGAACAAAAGAAAGAATATCACATACAAAATGGGTGCTGCCGAATGTTTCCCAATCGCTGACCAGTCTGTGGAGCTAGTTACCTGTGTTCAAGCTGCCCACTGGATAGATATGGACAAGTTCTATGCTGAAGCTTACCGGGTGCTAAAACCGAACGGCTGCGTGGCACTGATTTCATATACCTTCCCAGAATTTGGCTCACATCCACCAGCAAAATTCTTGACGAAGTATATAAGGGATTATTATGACAAGCTTTGGGAGGCATCATGCCACGATGAGGTGATTAAACATGTTCATAACAGATACCCTGACGAAATATTTGCCTGTAGACCACCACTGGAAGATCATCTTAGGGACGACACAAAGACCATGGAACATGAAATGACGGTGGGGGAAGTCGTTGGATTTGCAAGTTCCTGGACTGGTTCCGTCAGATACCTAAAGAAATATTCCAGCAGTGATATATTGGAGACCATGCAGAAAAACATACTGGAAACATTGGGAGAGGATGCCACCTTGGATACTGTTGTACGTGCCACATTCCCAGTATTCATCTTATTCGGCAGAAAGCCTGGTTAAGATAAATCAACAATCAAACTTGTGAGATTCCATTCATGTAACATGTAGCATGAATTCAAATGCAATAATGTAAATTTGCCGATTTCCTTTGGCGAGATCACCATATAACTATCAGACGTCGCAATTAAACTATTCTTATACCACATCCAAGCGATTATTGTACATGATCACTAATTTTGACGCACTTAACGATTTGTCAAAAGGCAATTATGGGGGAAAAGCAATCTTGGATCTCTATGGCAGCTGTGCAAGCTTGATACGTCCATCATTTCTTGGAGCTGGGCGCATGAATCAACATGGAACATTCGTGTAAAAAGCTAATCGGATATTTAATGTTTCAAAAGATACGGGCTAGTGCGTATTCCTCTTTCACTGTTTAATATATAAATCATTGTCACTCTCCAGATATGTACATGGAACATGTTTTAGAGAAAGAAGCATAACAGTCACTGACTGCCACAAAGTGATTTGCCGAGTGTGCAACTGAAATGTATACAATCTAACACAGCACTCGTGAATTTTAAACATGTTTTATTTGCTCTTTGAAACTTCACGTATATGCCCAGTATCATGGTCATTAATCTAGCCTATGTACTGAAAGACTTATAACAATAAACGCTGGCATGAATCTGAAGAACTCAATGTTGTCATTAACTTGGCATTGAAACGGTTTTCGTGGGTGCTCAGGTAAAGGAGATCGAGATCTGAGGTACAGATTTTGCAATTTACCCCGAAATTCCAATTATGACGTATAACCTGATACGTAAAATGACATTGGTGTAAATTAATGCAAAGGAATTTGCAAAGTGAGCAGTTAATATTTATCTATTATCAGAAACAAAAAGGTAGTACAAATGTAATTTATAGGGCACTCACACTGGCTCTTTCGACCGCGGTCGAGGCCTGACTTCGGTCGTATCGGGGTTAACTTTTCTAATGTTAACGGACGACGTAGGCCTACCCCTGATTGCGGTCTAAATAAACCCAGATCGGGAGCGGGTTAAATCAGAGTTAACTCCGAATCGCAGTCAAGGCCGGATGTTTACATATGCAACGCATGTGCACACTGTGGTAAAAAAAACTTTGAGTTCTCTCCCTACTCCATATAGCCTACTCCGCTCTTAGTCGGTGTAGGCTACAAAGGTCTACAAATACAGCATGGGAAAAAATGAACATCGTTTTCCTCGAAAAAATTGCTGTCTGTTCCTTATCCTTGCCGCACGAATTTGCTTCAGTTTTAATGTATTTTCTCTCATGGATATATTTCTTGACAAGATTGAATTAAACATTTTGAACAGCATTACGATAATCTCCATTTGAACTCCCGCTATTTTGCGCAGATTCTAGTGAGAACAATAGAGCGCATGCTTAACAGGAAGTACGATTGCTGTCATACCCTGTCTGCTACCCCACTCGGAACTACTCGGATGTCTCCGCACTCGACAATAACCTCGGACGTGATACGGGGGCATCCATATTGATTGTTGATTTGTTGGGAAGGAACTACTTTCAACCTCGCGCTAATTTAGACCACAATTCTTTCAACGTCTGTATCTGTTTATCCTTTAAATCAAAGTCAATCTTAGTGCATTGTTTGGCAAACTGTAAAGCATCATAAAAACAGGGGTATTGACAGCTATCTTTATGAGCTGAATAATCGAATTGAGTGAGAAGGCATTTCCGGCGAACAAAATGCATGGATTTGGTGCATATTTCTCCGCCTATCACATCCGAGGTTAGTATGGAGCTTGCGGAATGAGCCGAGGATTGCCGATTGCTGCTACCCAGCCTCAGTAATCTAGCCCACGTCTGGCCCAGATCTGGCAACGTCTGGCAATATCTGGGCCAGATTTTGCCAGACACTTGCCAGATCTGGGCCAAGTCTGGCATTTATGCCACATTTTGCCAGACACTTGCCAGATCTGGGCCAAGTCTGGCAAAGTCTGGCATTTATGCCACATTTTGCCAGATGCTGCCCAGACTTGGGCCAGATATGGTACTTTCATTTTCAATTTTTATTTTTTATTTATTTATTTTTTATTGACCAGTGAGCTGAATGCATTGAACTGACGTCATTTGATAAATTTTGATTTAATTTATCTCTCTCTCTTTTCTTCAAAGTCCCCTCATAAGTGTGCTATTTGTTTAATTTGACTTGACACTTGAATGAATTCACTGTTCTAAAACTTTTTGAACTACTCGTTCCGCTGTTGTAAGATTCCGCTTTTTATGCTAAGCCGGTCAAAGACCCGGATGTAGCGTTTCTTAGAGTTATGGATATGAAAAAAGTACAAGCGTATCAAACTGATACAATTCGTTGAGTGATTTGATTCATGATGCGATTTATTTCGAAGGCATCAACACTGGCGACGAGGATTAACACTAGTGCAAAACTGTGAGCCAACTTTCTTTGAAAAAATGGAGGAAAAATGTGAAATTACGGAATTCGAACCGTACAGAAGTCCGGCCGGAGACATTAAGGTCACGCTCGACGTGATGGCTAGACAGTTTTAACCTCTTCGCTGACGGAAAAGATTGATCTTTTCAAAACCAACGGACGGCATGAATAATGAACAAAGATAGAAAATTAAAAATACATGACAGAGGAGACGCGCGCTTATGTTGTATTCAGCAGGGGTAGGTGTACAAGATATTTTCAGGACTCTCCCAAACACAGGTTAGAAACATGAATATACATAAGACAGTTAACGCTTTGAATGAAATTGGTACACCAGAAACTGTGAGTATGATGAAACCGAAGCCATTTGACAAACCAAGCCAGTCTAAACATTACGAGTTTAGACATGAAAAACGAAGTAGAAACTCCCTGACTGAGAAAACATGGAACGTTGGATCACTTTGCAAAAGTCTGCAAAACTGAAACTATTATTCATGTAAACGACAGCTTTGAACATGATAATCCAGGAGTGCATATA